TTGTGGATAATTTGAGATGTTTTTAACTAAAATATGCGTAATATGTTTTAAAAATATTTTGTTTGAGCGAGCAACGAATCAACAATTGTTATTAAACTCAAATGCAATGTATTTAAAACAACTCTTATGAGTCAATTTTTAAATAGGTTTATTTGTTTATATTTTACCGGTAGATTACTAACCTACAGGGCCTCGAGGACGAGTGAGACAGAGCGATACGAAATGAAATGAATTAAAGAAGGATGGAGAGACTTACCGGCTTATCGACTGTTTTTTTACGATTTTTGTTAAACCGATGTCCAGAATATCCATAGGTGTTGATTTTTCTTTCATCTACTTTCGAAGGACCATGTAAAGGGGTGATGTTTTATTCACCCTCGTTGTTTTCTTTGTTGATGAACTGGCATTCACATTTTCATTAATACACGTTTTTTTTATCACTTTATTGCACATAATTCGTGCAATACAATGCACACTTGTGAGTTGATAAACTAATTAAAATATGTAAAATTACAACATTAAAAGATGCTAATGTTTGTACCAGAGACAAAGAACTTTCCGGCCATCTTCAAAATTTTTGTGTCTCTCGCCGCTTGGCGCTGTTGAGCGCGCAATTTGAAAATTGACGTTTGTAAAGCTAAACCATTGAGTAAAGAAGTTCTTTACTCAATGGCTAAACAGTTATCGCAAAACTTACGCAAATATTGGACATACTATTTTTTTAAATAAATTTTTAATATATATTATGATTTATTTTCATATGCTTTTGATTTCAATCAATAATTATTTTTTAAGTTAATTTTAGTTAGACATTAATGTCCAAATAAAATTAAGTTAAAAAAATCAAATAAAGTAATTTTTAGGGACTTTTAATAAAAAAATCAAAATTTACTCAAAATTATCGCAAAATAAACGCAAACTTTACGCAAATATTACTAAAATAAAATTTTTATAAAAATGTATTGATAATTACTTTTTATAATTTATTTTTATATATATATGCTTTTGAGTTAAATTATTTATGTCTAATTAAAAAAAACTTAAAAATCTAATACAGTGATGTTTTAATGACTTTAAATAAAAAATCAAAATTAACTCAAAATCAAAATTTACTCAAAATTATCGCAAAATAAACGCAAACTTTACGCAAATATTACTAAAATAAAATTTTTATAAAAATGTATTGATAATTACTTTTTATAATTTATTTATATATATATATGCTTTTGAGTTAAATTATTTATGTCTAATTAAAAAAAACTTAAAAAATCTAATACAGTGATGTTTTAGTGACTTTAAATAAAAAATCAAAATTAACTCAAAATTAACGTAAACTCAACGCAAACTGAACGCAAATATTAGACAATACATTTTTATAAAAATAAATTAATTGAAGACATACATAAGTGGATAAAGGTGTTACTTATGTGACATTTGAGGTAGTAAAATAAAGACGATTTTTAAATTTTATTTTTGCATAAAAACAGTTTTTTGGATACTTTTAATTTTTAAATTACAATAACAATTTAAAAAAAAACTTATTTTGGTAGTTCCTTGTAAGTTTAAAAATAATAGAGAAAAGTATTACTAGTATGAACATTGTTTGCCATTTTTTACTTAAAATGTGACATAACACCTTTACCCACTTATGTCTTCAATTACTACTTTCAATGTCTTCAATTACTACTTTCAATAAATTATTTTATATGCTTTTGATTTAAGTCTTTAATGTCCAACGAAAGATAACTTAAAATATCAAAAAAGTGATTTTTAGTGACATAATAAAAAATCAAAATTGACTCTATAGAAACCCAAATTTAATGCAAAGTAAACGCAAATTTAAGAAAATTTTTATAAAAATAAATAAGCAAACTAAAAATATAATGAAAATTCAAAATTCACTCAAAATAAACTCAAAATCAGCGCAAATTTAACGCAAATATTTTATTCAAAAAATGTTAGCGTAAAATCGATAACTTAATTAAAAAGCCAAAATTGACTCAAAATGAACGCAAAATCAACGCAAATTCAACGTAAATATTTTATTACAAAAAATGTTTAAATAAAATCGGTAACCTAACCAAAAAGTCAAAATTGACTCAAAATAAACGCAAAATCAACGCAAATTCAACGCAAATATTTTATACAAATTTTTTTAGAGTAAAATCGTTTACCTAATCAATCAATTTTAAGTCTATTTATAGTTAATTTTTTGGTTGTTCAAAATTGACTCTAAAGAAACACAAATTTAATGCAAAGTAAATGCAAATTTTTATAAAAAGAAATAAAAAAATTAAAATTATAATAAAAAGTCAAAATTGACTCAAAATAAACTCAAAATCAATGCAAATTTAACGCAAATATTTTATTCAAAAAATGTTCGCGTAAAATCGATAGCTTAATTAAAAAGTCAAAATTGACTCAAAATGAACGCAAATCAAGGCAAATTCAACGCTAATATTACAAAAAATGTTAAAGTAAAATCGGAAAACTTAACCAAATAGTCAAAATTGACTCAAAATGAACGCAAAATCAAGGCAAATTCAACGCTAATATTACAAAAAATGTTAAAGTAAAATCGGAAAACTTAACCAAATAGTCAAAATTGACTCAAAATGAACGCAAAATCAAGGCAAATTCAACGCTAATATTACAAAAAATGTTAAAGTAAAATCGGAAAACTTAACCAAATAGTCAAAATTGACTCAAAATGAACGCAAAATCAACGCAAATTCAACGTAAATATTTTATACAAAAAATATTTGAAGAAAATCGGTAACCTAAACAAAAAGTCAAAATTGACTCAAAATAAACGCAAAATCAACGCAAATTCAACGCAAATATTTTATAAAAAAAATTTTAAAGTAAAATCGGTTACCTAATCAATCAATTTTAAGTCTATTTATAGTTAATTTTTTGGTTGTTATCGCAAAACTTACGTTAAATTTTAGTCAAATTTGAGTTACGTTTTGGCTCAACTTAACGCAATTTTTTTGCGCCAACTTTACGTTAAAATCCAATATTTTAACTCAAAAAATGGCAACTTGCGTTAAAATTTATGAAATCAACGCTAAATCAACGCAAAATTTACGTCAATTGACCGATCGGTGAATTCGCTAGGGACGTACGTTTATAATATACAGGTTTAAACAAAAAGATGTTTTTTACCATAAGTTTTAAGACACTCTGTAGAGTGGCAAAACCGTATATTGTTCTAAATTAAGTTTTAATTATCAAGTCACATCTATTTTTAACAGTTTTGTTTTTGGTTCACCTTGATATATTTATTTTTGTGGAAAATATGATTTTTTTTTAATACTGTGACGTCCATCCTGGATTAAATTAATGGCTCTGGCAACATCAGTCGGAGACATATCCTTTATTTAAAGTAAGAAGACACCTCAAAATTTAAACATTAATTTGCAAAAAACAATTTGATAGCTTTTGAAAGCCGTGTATGACATGTCCAAGTATGGGATTATTCAACAAAACTGTCACAGTCATTCTCCATAGCCTATGGATGGACCATAGCAACCTTAGTTCTTCATACAGAAAAATATTGGAAATTGCAATGTTTTTTTAAAAAATCCATATTTTCCACAAAAATAAATAAATCGAGATGAACCAAAAACAAAACTGTTAAGAATAGATGTGACTTGATAAATAAAACTTAATTTAGAACAATATACGGTTTTGCCACTCTACAGAGTGTCTTAAACTCATGGTAAACAACTTATTTTTGTTTAAACCTGTATATTATAAACGTACCTATATTTTTTGGTATGTAATGTAAGCGATTCTCCAATAATTTATCTACAATATTCTTTAATATTCGTTTAAATCCGATATCAAATAAAAAAGTTATTTGCGATTGAAATTCATAGAAAATTTGTGTGGATCGATTATTTTGCCTGTGAGTGTATTTTAAAAACAATACATTTAATTTAAAAAGCTTATTTAAGTGTTTTGATTATTTTTGAATAATTTGTTTATTCATGCTTTTTAGTGTATTATACTTTTGTTAGAATTATTTTGTGTTTTCCAGTTTTTTGAATGATGTATTTACAACAAAAAAAATGGTTTAATTTGATATTTATAACAAGAAATTGAAATAAATAAATATAAAAATTGAGTTGGGGTGGCTTAGTGAAGGTCATTTTTGTGATCATACTGATTCCTTCCACATATTCTAAAAACAAAAAAATTTTGATTTGACGTCACAATTTTACAAATAAACAACAAATACAAAATATTTAAACATTTCGTAATATGCATTTGACAAACAAGTATAGTAAAGAAAATTGTAAAATTTAAACGTAATTTATTGAAAATCTTGGTAAATACTACAAAATTATTGTAAATAACAAATTTATTAATCAATAATAATAATTATTATTATTATTATACGAAATACATTTTAATACTTTATAAAAAGTTTTAATTAATATTTAAAAACTTGCATAAATGGCGAATGCGCCGATATTTATATTAAAATATAATTAAAATAATTTTAGACTTTAATTTTGAATTAAATATTTGACACACATTTTGTAAATGATTTGGATTTTCTATAAAGTAGGTAAGAAAAAGCTAAAATTATGTAATGTTATGAAAATATTATGAACAAATTATATATGTCATGTATTTTTCCTGTTATTTTTTAATTGAGAGCATCGTACTAAAAAATGTTCCGCAATGGGATACTTCATGTATGTAGATAATAATTATTATTGTGTACTCATTTTATATAATTTTGTAGTAGTTTAAAATTTTTTTTTTAATAAATATTTAAAATTATAAAAAAATACATATTTAGAAAATATTACAGGCTGTTTTATTTTTAATAATAATCTAATTGATTAATATTATTAACATTTTTATTTTTTGGAATCTTCCATAATTTTCTCCTGAAAATTAAGCGAAGAAATATGCGCGCGCACCTATTGGACACGAAATATATATATAAACTCGCGCGTTATAAATCTTCCGATTTTAAGTGACCGACTGTTACGAGTGCTAAAAAGTTCGAGAAAATTTTGCGGCCTTAAAAACTAAAGGAAAATATCAAGATGGCTAGTATTAATAAAGCATTGTTTGTTATTGGTTTGCTAGTTTTGGTGTTTGTTCGGTTTAATCAAGGAGGCATCATCAAGGTAAAGTTTGTATGAAAAAAGTCATTTTTTAAAAGCAAACAAACACTACAAAACGTAATAAGAATTTTGTAGTTTTAACCACTTCTTTAAATATAATTTGATCGTCAAAAGGTTTTTTATCTTAATTAAGTTTCTTTCTATAACTGGATTTAGGGGTTTAAATATTTTTTTCCTTTTATCAAAATATTTCACAATATTAGATATTATTTCACAATATAAAAACATTCAACAACGGCAAATTTTCACGTAATATTTATTTTAAATACTCTGTTTAAATTTTTGTACATATTGTAGAAGTTTTTATTAGATTTCTCAGATTCCGGTATAGCAATTTTTTTGCATTCTAAATTTTAAATAATTTTAAAAAATGCACATATAAGCATATATATTTTTAAAATGACCCTAAATTGGTTCCAAATAATTTTTTTTTAAATCATGCCAAATTTTAGCTCTAGTATTAATATTAACCTGGTCCCCAAAACTCCCAAACTACTGAGTTTAACAAAATTTACTTGGGAATATTTTTTGAAGAAAATTAAATGCTTAAATTTTTTTATCAATGATAATCTTTATGTTATTAATAAAATTACTATAAATTAAAAAATATATATAACACATTTTTTTCGGAGCTATTTTCTTTAGAAAATATTATTTTCACTGTTATTTAATCGTTTAAATAATAACAATCATGTTGTTTTTGTATTGAAAATTGTTAATTAGTTATATAATAACATTTATAAAGAAAAGAAATCAAATTATCATCCATAAAAAAATAAATTTACAGAGGAAAAACAAGAATTTCAGTTTGACTTCAACTTTAACCTTGAATAACTTTTGATTTAGTGAATTTAGCCAAAAATGTTAATAGACCTTTTTGTAGAGCATTTAATTTCTTTAAAAAAATACCTTCGAATAAATTTTGATAAACTTAATGGTTTGGTAGTTTTGAGACAAAAACTAGCTCAGGAAATTTTTTTTTTAATTTCGTTGATAGACGTAATATTAATATTAAGAGGTACCTCTTAATATTAATATTATGGACTCAAACTTTCACAATAATTTTTTTGCTCAGTACAGAAATAGAATTTAGAATTTCCGCCTATTATAAAATAAAGTTTTTAAATTTTTAAAACGTTTTTATTAAGGAAGAACAGTTTTACAAAAAAAATGTTTTTTTTTTATAATTTGTAATTGAATATCCATATTTCTTTTAAATTATATAATTTCTTTTTTTAATTACTTACATATTTCCTTATTATTTATTAATAATATCTATGCTTTGGATACATTGCTTCAAATAATTTAATTTAATTTAAATGGCAAATTAAGAATTAATAAAAATACAAAACGGTAACATTTCTTTTAAAAAATCATGTTCTTCATTTCCTTTAGTAGTGATTCATTAAAGAACTACGAATTTTGACAATTTGTAATGACATTAGACATATGTAATAAATAGACATTTTTTATATATTTTTCGCAAACCTATCCATTGAAATGATATCGAAGGTCAAAATTTAAATACCTCAAAATGGGTATCATCCAATTTATTTGTAGTCTAAAAAAAATTTTAAAAATATTTTTTTTATGTTTTTTTATGAAGTTTTATATTCTATTGTCTTTAATAAGCTAGAGCTTCATTCAGTTGACATCCTACAGCCCTATTTTCAAAATTAGCAAATACTGTATGTATTCCTTAAAAAAAAATTGTTTACAAAAAACTAAGTTGGTCAACAGAATGTTTATAACCTGAAAAATTGACTCCATTAAATTTTTAACAATAACAGATTACGTGGTAACCATAGATACCGTCAACTCACCCGTCACAGGTTTCTTGATACAACATGATATTTCAAATTTTAGAAATTGTTAAATATATTTGAAATTATTAACTTTGGGTATATCAATCGAAAAATGTTTTAATTTACTATTTGATTATGTAAAAATATACCGGGTGTTATATTATTTAAAATAAAAAAGTGATTAACGTTTTAAGTTGGCCTAATTTGCCCTGGGTTTTTTCAGGTATTTGTTGAAAAATGTTTAACAATTGACAAGGAATCTTTTAGACAAAGTTTAAGCGGGGTGGATGAAATTCCAGAATAAAAAAAATTGTTGGGTAAATTATCTTTTGAACTCATATTTATTAATTAAAAACTTACTACGTTTTAATTTTTATGGATTGTTTAGCAATCACTATCAATTTTATTGTTTATTGTTTTTTACAAGAATAAGCTTTTGCGTATTTGTATTTTTATATTTATTAATGAAAGATTGTGTAATTCATCAATAAAAAAATCGTATCGTATCCGTTTTAATTTTAATTCTGAAAACAAATAGTAAAATCGACAGTGTCCAATTACTGGTTGGTAAAAAATGTAAATTTCTATTATTGGATATATGTCCAATATCATACTCTATTTGTATCCCGGACATATACCAGCCAATTCTTATGTAAAATTGTCCCCTGAATCCGAAAAGGCCGTCAAAAACTATAGAAGTTAAGCAGTTTTTTAGATATATATAGTCAATTCCATATTATATGTAAAATTGACTATATTTCAAAAACGGTTCTTCTTTTATAAGTTTTGACGACATTTTCGGATTCAGCGAATAATATTTTATAGGAATTGACTGCTAAATGTCCTGGATACAAATTGCTGTTGACGAGAAAAATTAGTTGCTGCTTTTTCGCTATGACATTTTTGACTAATTCATTTTTAGAGAGTAGGTAATATAGGGATTTATTCGTCACAGGATATCTTGCAGAATATCCTTTTTTTATATATTTATAAGAAAAAAACTAAAATTTTTAAAACAACGGCATATATAAATTTTAAATAAATAATATTGTCCAATAACTATGTGGTTTACTCTATAGTAATTTGTTTACTTGTTTGTTGTTTATTTTCCTGTATGAATGAGTTTGGACCCATTTAGAAGGTCACTTTTACTATTAATCCATTTAGGCGCGAGCATCTAGTAAACAATGATTTTTAAATGCGTAGCACTATAGATTTAAAGTCATTGACATTTTTTCCGTATAGAATTTATTTAGGGCATGGAAATAATACCATCATTTCTATCATTTTTTAAGTCGTCAGGATCGGATTAAGGCAGCTAAAAAATGTAGGGGCCAACAAAGTTTTTATTAAAAGATAAATGTGATTTTAAATATTAATAATAACACTATAGATGTTTATTTTAAATTTACTAAATAATAGAAATAAATAATAATAATAGAAAAATGTGATTTTAAATATTAATAATAACATCTATAGATGTTTATTTTAAATTTACTAAATATCTAATTAAAAAAAAGACGAAGATTAGTGTTTAGTATTACTTAAAGTTAACTCGCTTATTAAAAAAAATCAAACTAAAAACAACATAAATAAACTCGATTTTTTTTTCTATTTATTTATTTAATAATGTTTATAAATAAAAAAATCTTAATATTTATTATTAATTTTTTTATTTAATTATTAATACCGTCTATTACCAACAAAATTACTATTTATTAAAAAGTAAACAACCATTTACAAACAATTAAAATAATTTATTTTTTACATTACCACGTGGTACTGTACAGTAAAAAATGGCCGATAAGAAGAATTTTCCTTTGAAGTAGTTTTCGCTACTTTAAAGTTTTTTCCACTTTACGGTTGTTTTGGTTAGTACCATAAACGTTACAAATACTAAAATAATAACTTTTAAGTTATTAACTTTGTAGTTTTTAACTCATGTTCCAGTTTCAAGATTTTAACTTGCAAAGGGATTACAAAGTAAAAAAAATTATGCTACAAATTAAATTTACTTGAAAGTTTTTTTTACTTATAACACCTTTTTAAAAGTTGCAAAGTCTTCTTGGGGGCAACCAAGTTTTACTTAAATGTTTATTACTTTATAGTAACCATTTAAGGAAAAATTAAGTTTCTGTTACAAAATATTTCTATTTAAAAGTTAGAATTACTTTTAAGTAAAAATTAAAGTAGCTGTTTAGTATCTTTAACTAATTTAAAGTTATCACCACTTTGGCAATGGTTTTTGGAACCAAAAATGCTGCTTGGGATAGCATAAAAATGTATAAATTATAGCATATATGCTTGGCCATAATATGTACCTGGTCTATTATCATGTTCTATTATTTTATTTAGGTTTTAGAATGTTTATTATTATTCTGGCTTTTAAATACTAAAGTGACGGGGGCCCCTTTGTATGGCGTAGTATAAAGACATGCAAAAACAGTATTTTCAGGGAATTTAATATTTTATCATCATACTGGTGCCAATAAAACATTAAAAACAATTTTATAAGAATAACAAATCAATTTATTATTTTATTTGGTAGTAATTATTTTTTTTATAATCATCAAAAAACCGATCTTTGAACTGTACCCATTATTCATATTGACTAATAGATAATAAATTAAGAATAAAGGCGTCACTTATCGACAATTCCACCAATGAGATTTCAGGAATCTCGTATCACACACGACCGAACGGCGATGATAGGACGAAAAACAATAAAGAAATTTTATCGATAACGGGAATTAATAAAATCTACCAATTGATTTATTGCTTGACAACAAAGGATTTAATTTAAAAAATATTAAAATTAAACATGATTATGGATTATTTGTTAGCAAAAAGGAAATCTTGTTTTTACGATATTTTAAGGAATTGAACGAATCAGGAAAAGAATCATTTTTAACGCGGTTCTGTCATTAAAATTAGTTTTATAGTTTATAAAATCATTTTTGTGACTCACAAATTATAAGCATTTTACATTTTTTAAATGTTTTCAAAGTTTCAAAAATGGCGAATGTGCCGGGATTAATGTATAACATAACTTTCTTATATTTATTTTATAAAAATGTTATCTATTTTTGTTACAGAGGGAGCTAAATTTAACTTCAAAATTGGAGGAATGTTCTTCTCAAACACCCTGTGGATGGGCAGTTTACAACAGCTCCACAAGGAAGATTATATATTATATGAAAAACACGTAAGTTAAAAATTTATATAACACAGTACAAGACTATTTTCCTCCCATGAAAAATTTTAACAGATTTTAAAAATAAAGGTTAAAAAACGTACCCTTGTCTCACCGTTTTACGAAATCACGTCATTTAATTTTTTTACACAGCCATTCTTATTATTTTAACCTAAAAATATTTTTTTTTCTTCAAATATTTTATGTTTTTGAATATAAACTTGTAAAAACACAAAAAATTAAAAAAAAAATATAAAACTAAACAAAAAAAGCATGTGAAAATCCTAATAAAAAATTACAAAAAAATGGGTACACAAAATAAAAATTATAACTATTATAGTTTCAGAGATAATTGCAATTTCATCCAATGAACATTTTTGTTTTTATAGTGATTGCCATACATTTTACGTATCTACATATATCACCAAAATTATAAAACTTAATTTTCTTAATTTGGTGACAGAAAAACTTTTTATCACCCTTATTCGGAAAATTTATAAACGTTATCGTTACCTGCGTTTAGTAACACGATAAAACCTAAGTTTTATAACTAGACGAAAAAAAATATTTTGGAAACTATAGAACTTCTTAAAGAATTGTTGTTTTTCCTTGTTTTAATATGTCTCTCTTAATTAGGAGCATTTAAAATATATATATTTCTTCGTAAGCTATATAGCTTAGATATATATGTACATACATATATTTATTGGGTATTATACACAACTCTTGTTCAAACCACGTGAATATTTTAAGAAGTCAAAAAATACACTTATAAAAAATAAACATATATTTTTTTAAGAATACATTAAGGGTGGGATATCTTTCTTTTACTTACATAATAATAAAAAAATACGCAATATTTATGCGATATTTAATAAGGATCTTTTTTGTAGAAAATAAAATTCAGTAGCAAAATTTATAATAAAAAAACTTAAAAACCTGTATTTCCACAGTCGCTGCATTGTACATTAGTTATGGAACACTCTATATATTTGCGAAGTGTGTTAGTTTGCCTTTCAGGCAGCAACAGATCAATTAAATACCTTGGACCTTGAAATTCACCAATAAAAATTTATTTAAAAATTGTAAAAACAATTAAAATGTATACAAAAAATACCATATTTTTTATTTTTTTAGGTGTCAATGCGGGAACGAACTGAAATGCCTACGCGACAATGAAGACGTGTCAATATCATCATACGCATACTACTGCAGAAAAAATTCATAATACTTCACCTCCCCTTACCCCCTCCAGCGCTCCTTAATATTAGTTCCTAGTAAAATTATTCCACTAATAAATATATCGACTGATTTACTTATATGTAAAAAATTGGAATTTACAAGTAGGCTAAAATTATTTATAAAATCCATTTTATTTTATAATATTTAATTGTAGTGTTAGTATCATCTTAGTACTTACCTCTTTTCGCCATTTTTACTTAACAAATTATTTATACCTCAACTCACAGGCATTTTAAATTATTTATTTATATTGGTAAAATTTTGGAATTAAAGAAAAAATTGCTAGTCATTAAAATGTAAAGTCTAGTAAAACCTCAATGCCCTAGGATATAGTTGCATTTTACAGTATTGTATTCGTTATTTTTTCAATAATATTATGTATATAAATTTGTGTTTTATTGATCCTTTTTTGGGTAGAGAACTGTAGTGGTAGAATCTACCAATTTGACAATTTTTTCTTGCTTATTTTTACTTACGTTTTTATATATTTTATTATTCAAAGATTCGGGAAAAAATAGTGCAGTAAAATCTGTGTGATTTTTTTATTTATTAAATACAGTATATGAGAGCATTTTTAGCACCTAAATAATGGTTAACTAAGACAAGGTTACACAAATTTTCAGACCTACATTATTCTTAAAAAAGTGTCAAATTTCATTTGTGTAACCCTAAACATATATTTACAAATCATTAAAAAATAATACCGAACAGTTAATATCACATTATATAAGGCATATAGATAGATAGATAGATAGATAGATGTTTATTTGTTCAAAAAAAAAAATTGCAATACATACAATATAGAACACGTCAAAAACTATAAACAACAAAACTATAAACATCAAAAACTCTTAACTAAAAAAATCATTAACACAGTAATCACATCTGCTTACAAGATAGGCTCTTAAGCAACGTTTAAATGCATTTTAAAAATCTATAAAAAGTGGTTACAAAAATATTTGTATAAAGCTTACACTACATCATGGGTTTTTGGCTTCATTTATAAAAACATTCGGTATATATGATAAACTCGATGCGTTTTTAACGAAACTACGGAATCAATGAGCAAAATAATAAAATTCGATGTCTAAATAACTTAATTAACAAATGATAATTAAATAATGTATTTGATTATTCATCTTGTTTTGGCCTTTGTAATTTTTCTGGATGTGAACAGGCCAATTGTGAAAAATCTCTTACAACATCGTTAAACATGTCATCTCCAGATATTCCATGTTCAGAATCTTTCATTTCTTCATTTAGTCTGCCTAATCTTAATCTAAAAAAAGTTTGTACATGTTTGACATTCTAAATTATGTTTTCTTAACATGCTAAAATTTTTAAACTTTAAATTGTTTAGCATTTATGGTAAGTTACCATTGATAGTCAAAAAATATTTTAAATATAAAATACAACTGTAAAACTTTACGCTTAAAGAGATTGATTTTTAAAAATGTTAGTACAAATATTGAGTTTAAAAAAATTTAACTTTTTAAACCATTTTGGTAAAAAATGTTTTTATGTGTTTTTATTTTAAACGTCTTGATACTATTTTTAAATATTACAAAATTTAATTTTACCAATTTAATAAAATTTTAAAATATTCATTAAAGATTTACAAAATTCTGCCAAAATAAATTATACTTAAGAAATTATTTTTATTAAAAAATTATGGTTGAAAATGTTTGCAAAAATTGATTGGAAATAATATCGTTTAATAGAAAAGTGAACTGTTAGTTAATAAATTTTGTCTTTCAATACATGATAGTTGAAAATATTTTAAATTTATAAATGTAAACCCAAAATTTTTATTTTGGAATATTTTAAACCAATAAAATTTTAAACTAAAATATTATTTAATAAATGCGTTACATGTATCTATGCATAGATAAACGATATTAAACGTTGATTTCTGTTCACTTCCTATTTTACTCTCAGTTTCCTGGAGCTACATTTTCTTCACATGACTAAATTTCACAACTAGAATGTCATAGTTTGGAGCACAGATCAGAGGTTTGGAGAACATTCTTAAATATATTTTTGACAATCTAAATTCAATTTTTGAAACTTTTTTAAAAGTTTCTTCATTTATCAATTTTTTTTTCGACAATATAGACTAAATTACATGTATCTACTCGTAAATAAACGATATTAAACGTTGATTTCAGTCCATTTTCTATTTTATTCTCAGTTTCCTGGAGCTATATTTTCTTCAAATGGCTAAATTTCACAACTAGAATGTCGTAGTTTGGAGAACATTCTTTAATATATTTTTGACATTCTAAATTCAATTTTTGATACTTTTTTAAAAGTTTTTTCATTGATCTATTTTTCTTTCGAGAATAAAGACTAAATTACATGTATCTATGCGTAGATAAACGATATTAAACGTTGATTTTAGTCCATTTTCTATTTTATTCTCAGTTTCCTGGAGCTACATTTTCTTCACATGGTAAATTTCACAACTGGAATGTCATGGTTTGGAGAACATTTTTAAATATATTTTTGACATTCTAAATTCAATTTTTGATACTTTTCTTCATTGATCTATTTTTCTTTCGATAATATACACTAAATTACATCTATACATGCGTAGATAAACGATATAAAATATTGATTTCTGTCCATTTTCTATTTTATTCTCAGTTTCCTGGAGCTACATTTTCTTCACATGTCTAAATTTTACAACTAGAATATCGTAGTTTGGAGAACATTCTTAAATATATTTTTGACACTCTAAATTCAATTTTTGATACTTTTTTAAGTTTCTTTATTGTTTTATTTTTCGTTCGATAATATAGACTTAATTACATGTATCTATGCGTAAATAAACAATATTAAACGTTGATTCCTGTCCATTTCCTATTTTATTCTCAGTTTTCTGGAACTATGGTATTTTTGATACTTTTTTAAGTTTCTTCATTGGTCTATTTTTCTTTCGATAATACAGACTAAATTACATGATGCTATGCGTAGATAAACGATATTAAACGTTGATTTCTGTCGATTTTCTATTTTATTCTCAGTTTCCTGGAGCTACATTTTCTTCACATGGAAAAATTTCACAACTAGAATGTCGTAGTTTGGAGAACATTCTTAAATATATTTCTGACATTCTAAATTCAATTTTGGATACTTTTTTAAAAGTTTCTTCATTGATCTATTTTTCTTTCGATAATATACACTAAATTACATTTATCCACGCGTAGATAAACAATATTAAACGTTGATTTCAGTCCATTTTCTATTTTATTCTCAGTTTCCTGGAGCTACATTTTCTTCACATGGAAAAATTTCACAACTAGAATGTCGTAGTTTGGAGAACATTCTTAAATATATTTCTGACATTCTAAATTCAATTTTGGATACTTTTTTAAAAGTTTCTTCATTGATCTATTTTTCTTTCGATAATATACACTAAATTACATTTATCTACGCGTAGATAAACAATATTAAACGTTGATTTCAGTCCATTTTCTATTTTATTCTCAGTTTCCTGGAGCTACATTTTCTTCACATGGCTAAATGTATTACAACTAGAATGTCGTAGTTTGGATAACATTATTAAATATATTTTTGACATTCTAAATTCAATTTTTGATACTTTTTTAAAAGTTTCTTTATTGGTCTATTTTTCTTTCAATAACATAGACTAAATTACATGTATCTATGTGTAGATAAACGATATTAAACGTTGATTTCTGTCCATTTTCTATTTTATTCTGTTTTCTGGAGCTACATTTTCTTCACATGGCTAAATTTCACAACTGAAATGTCGTAGTTTGGAGAACATTTTTAAATATATTTTTAACATTATAAATTCAATTTTTGTTCCTTTTTAGTTTCTTCATTGATCTATTTTTCTTTTGATAACATAGAGTAAATTACATGTATCTATGCATAGATAAACGATATTAAACGTTGATTTCAGTTCATTTTCTATTTTATTCTGAGTTTTCTGGCGCTAGATTTTATTCAAATCGCTAAATTTCACAATTAGAATGTCTAGAATGTAGTTTGGAAAACTTAAACATTTTTAAATATATTTTTGACATTCTAAATTCAATTTATGATACTTTTTGAAAGTTTCTTCATTGATCTATTATATAATATAGACTAAATTACATGTATCTATCTAGATAAACAATATTAAACATTGATTTTAGTCTATTTTCCATTTTATTCTCAGTTTCCTGGAGCTACATTTTCTTCACATGGTAAATTTCACAACTGGAATGTCATGGTTTGGAGGACATTAAACATATTTTTGACATTCTAAATTTAATTTTTTATACTTTAGTAAAAGTTTCTTCATTAATCTATTTTTCTTTTGATAATATAGACTAAATTACATGTATCTATGCATAGATAAACGATATTAAACGTTGATTTCTGTCCATTTTCTATTTTATTCTGAGTTTCCTAGATTTTATTCAAATGGCTAAATTTCACAATTAGAATGTCTAGAATGTAGTTTAGAAAACTTAAACATTTTTAAATATATTTTTGACATTCTAAATTCAATTTATGATACTTTTTAAAAGTTTCTTCATTTTTAAGAAATACTTAAAAACATGTTTAAAACATTTAAATAGTGTTTTAAACATGCTAAAATGTGATTTTAATATTTTAAATGTTGATACTTTAAAATGTGTTTTTGACATTATTAAACATGTATTAAAATACTAAAATGTGATTAACATTTTATATATATTTTTACTTACAAGGTAACTATGTCAGCATGCTCTTTTTGTTCTGCCATCGATAAGGGCACTTTTCCTTCGTCGTCTTCCAAATGCTGGTCGGCCCTGTGCTTCAAAAACAAACAGACCTGCGCAGTATGACCTTCCTGCGTTGCCAAATGCAACGGCGTCTTGCCGTTGACGTCTTGAGCGTTGATTTTCACCCCGTTGAGTATTAGATACGCGCAGGGCATCACAGAACCCTACAAAAAAAGAAGAAAAAAGTATAGTAATCTGTATAGATGGTTTATTTTTAATACTTACACTTAATACGGCTTGGTGTATAGTACTTCTGCCCCTGTCTTCTGTATTTACGTAATTTTTATCAGCACCTAAGGCTAGGGCTTCACACATCACCGGTATATTATGAGCTAAAGCTGCCTTGTACAGCAACAGGTTGGGTTTTAGTTTGGAAATGTCTTCTTCAGCTACAAAAAATATTTGGTTACACAAAATCAAAGTTTGGTAGGTAAAATTGAGTCTTTTCAGGGCTCACACGGCTAAATTACAAATTTTATTTAGGAATTTAGTTTTTTGGGGAATTTTAGGAGAAATTAAGTAACAAATGAATTTATGTAATTAAATACAAACAACTCTACACTGTACTTAAAAAATAAAAAGAAATAAATAATTCTTTTTAACAAAAATATAAATACAATCACTTCTTTTGTACAAATAGGTTTACATTGGCTAGTTTTTTAGCCAAATCGCTCTACAAGTTTTTTTTTAATAAAATTAAAAGTGAGGTAAAATTACTTTTTCTATATTCAAGTAGAAATTTCAACACACTTTTAGTTTTATTTAAAAAAAAAACGCGTGGATAGATATGGCTAAAAAACTAGGCCAAAGTCAAATGATGTTATATTTATATTTTGAGAAAAAAAATGTTAACCGTTTAGTTAATAACTAACAATAATTGTAATGTGGATTTTGCTACTCAAAAATCTCATAATAAAAAAAATATATAGTTTGCATACTACAGCAAGACATTCTTTAGTTTGTTTACTACACTCACAGGCAAAATAATCGATCCACACAAATTTTCGATGAATTTCAATCGCAAATAACTTTTTTATTTGATGTCGGATTTAAACGAATATTAAAGAATATTGTAGATCAATTAATGGACAATCGCTCACATTTTAAAAAATTACTAAAAAATAGACGTACGTTTATAATATACAGGTTTAAACAAAAAGATGTTTTTTACCATAAGTTTAAAACACTCTGTAAAGTGGCAAAACCGTATATTGTTCTAAATTAAGTTTTATTTATCAAGTCACAACTATTCATAACAGTTTTGTTTTTGGTTCACCTCGATATATTTATTTTTGTGGAAAATATGGATTTTTTAAAAGAACATTGCAATTTCCAATAGTTTTCTGTATGAAGAACTAAGGTTGCTATGGTCCATCCATAGGCTATGGAGAATGACAGGGACAGTTTTGTTGAATCATCCCATACTTGGACATGTCATACAAGGCTTTCAAAAGCTATCAAATTGTTTTTTGCAAATTAATGTTTAAATTTTAAATGTTTAAATTAATTTAAGACACCTCAAAATTTTGAGGTGTCTTCTTACTTTAAAAAAATGGATATGTCTCCGAATGATGTTGCCAGAGCCATTAATTTAATCCAGGATGGACGGTCACAGTACTAAGTGGCAAGTGTTTTAAACGTCACAAGAAGTAAAGTACAAAGGGCAACATCAGTCGGAGACATTTTTAAAAGTAAGAAGACACCTCAAAATTAACACATTAATTTACAAAAAACAATTTCATAGCTTTTAAAAGCTGTATATGACATGTCTAAGTATGGGATGATTCAACAAAACTGTCACTGTCATCCTCCATAGGCTATGGATGGACCATAGCAACCTCAGTTCTTCATACAAGAAAAATATTGGAAATTGCAATGTGTTTTTTAAAAATCCATATTTTCCACAAAAATAAATATATCAAGGTAAACCAAAAACAAAACTGTTAAAAATAGATGTGACTTAATAATTAAAACTTAATTTAGAACAATATACGGTTTTGCCACTCTACAGAGTGTCTAAAACTTATGGTAAAAAACATATTTTTGTTTAAACCTGTATATTATAAACGTACGTGTATTTTTTAGTAATTTTTAAAATGTGAGCGATTCTGCATTAATGTATCTACAATATTCTCTTTAATATTTGTTTAAATCCGACATCAAATAAAAAAGTTATTTGCGATTGAAATTCATCGAAAATTTGTGTGGATCGATTATTTTGCCTGTGAGTGTATTTTAGCTATCATTTAAAATAAAATTAAAAATCCTTTTGTTTGATATATAACACGGTATAAATTTTTGTCGAAAACAAACGAAATATGGCTAAAAATGACAATTTTGTTTTTTAGGTATATTTTGTTGTTTTTTAATAAAAATGTGGGTTGTGATATATCATTTTAAAAAGAATTTAATAAACTAGAACCTAAAAATACAGGGTGTTATGTAATTATTGTTATATATTAAAATGGGTTGTTCCTTCGGGTCCATAAAGAAGCACCTGAAACTTTTTTTTTCTAAATTCCAAAGTCTAAAAATAATTATATAATAATAATAATAATTATATATATATATATATATATTATATATAATTATAATAATCTTTATCCTACCAAAAAGTAGGCCACTGATCGACTAGGAACTTTAGGTTAATCTGGTGGATTTATTATGTTATGGTTGGTAACAACTGTTTCCAAAATCTTTCAAAAAAGTTGCCAAGCATTGTTTAAATTTAACTTAATTACAAAAATGACAAAATTAACAATGCAAATTGTCAATTTGGCGTTTTTATTAATTGTTGGTTATTTCATTTTTGTACTGAAGGTAAATTCAAACAAAATCTGACAACTTTTATGACAGAATCTAGTGCATTTATTTTAAATTTTAGGTTATGTTTTCAAATTGTAAATATCTTAACTAAGGGAAGTGCTTTTGGATTTATTTACACAAATTAAATGTTTAAAGTTTAACCTGTGAACTGGTCCCAATTTCATCTGAGTAAACAGAGAAAAAAAACTGATGAAAAAATTAATTTTGTGGTTATGGATTTCAAATTTCAAAGGTACTAAATTTCTAATCATTGCTTAAGCTAATAGCTGGATCAGTAAATAAATACAGAAGGGTATTAGAGCTTTAAGGGCATAAAACTTTTGTATTTATTGAGTTTTTATTTATTTTTTGCAAGAAAAATTTTTAGTAACAATTTTTTACATCTGGCAACGCATAGCTACTTTGTTGGTTGGTATCTATGTAGTCACAAAATACAGGTGTGCAGAGATAAACAAGTGTGTAACCAGTGGCGTATCACAAAAAATATAAAAAACTTCTAATGCATATTTTTTCTTTATATTTGGAAAAATGTTTTTTTAAATATTTTTCCTTTATTCCTTATGTCAAAAGGTATTCAGTATTTTAATATATAACATTAATTACATAACACCCTGTATATGTCACTTTTAGAAACAACTTTCTCACCAACAGTCCCTTCTTCCTCTCCCTCCGTGCTCTCCTGATCGCTGCTCAGGTCGATAGCGGCCTCGTCTAGCGACTCCTTGTCCAAGTCGTTGCCGAACAAAAGAACGCTGCGGCGCCGTTTCAGGCTGACGCTTTTCTGCGACGACTCGGCGCTGGTCAAGTCGCCCTCGAAACCTGATTCGCTCGTTTCCGACGCCTCTTCGACCGTTTTCGGCGTCGGTCGGAACTTTTTTTTGTCGCAGCTGCGCGGTCGTCGCCGCATCTTGCGCACGCTCCACTTTCTAACCTAAAAGTCCATTTTTGAAGCAGTGTTGCCAGTCCATTACAATTGTAACAGATCTGTTACCTTTCAGTGAATGTTATTTAAAGAGTCATTTAAATGATAGTCAATACATTTTTAATACAAAGATTTTAAATTTTAAAGTGATCATTTTTGGATTAAAAATGTATCGACTTAAATGACTACAAATATAAATCAATAATTTTGTAGAATATTAAATCTACAATTTTTAAAAACCCTTAGGCATTTTAAACTTAAAAATTTGCATTTGCATTTTATATTTAAAATATTTTTTGATCATCAATTGTTTTAAGTTTAAAAAATTCAACTTTTTAAACAATTTTGGTATAAAATTTGTTATATGTTTTTATTTTAAATGTCAATTTAATCTAAATAATTTTATTAAATATCCATTTAGGATTTACAAAATTCTGCTCAAATAAATTATTCTTAAGAAATTATTTTTATTAAAAAATGATAAAAAATGATGGTTACCTATGGCACGCCGTTTTAACATTTATTAAATAATTTTTTAATTTAAAATTTTATTGGTTTAAAATTTTCCTAACTAAAAATTTTAGGTTTACATTTATAAATATATAATATTTTAATCATGTATTGAAAGACAAAATTTACTAACCAACAGTTCACTTCTGTATTAAACAATATTATTTTCTATCAATTTTTGCAAAAATTTCTAACCATCATTTTTTAATAAAAATAATTTCCCAGGTATAATTTATTTTGTTAACTTAAATAAATATTTTATAAAATTATTGAGATTAATTTGGTAAAGTTAAATTTTTTAGTATTAAAAAATAGTATCAAGCCATTTAAAATAAAAACGCATATAAAACATTTTCTACCAAAATAGTTTAAAAAGTTAAATTTTTGTAAACTCAAAAATATTGATAATCAAAAAATATTAATTTTTAAAAAATGAAATTTTAATATTTTATTCTCCAAAATTATTGCTTTGAATTTGTAAAGGGTCATTTAAATGATAGTCGATACATTTTCAATACAAAAATTTGAACATTACATTTAAATGTTAGTTTTAAATTTTAAAGTGGTAATTTTTGCATAAAAAATTTATCGACTATCATTTAAATGACTCTTTACAAATTTAAACCGATTACTTTTATTTTTAACAATTTTAAATTGATACATTTTAAAGACAAAATTTATAACTTTACAATTAAATGTAAGTCGATAATTTTTAAATTACAAAGTGTAAACGTAGCTTTAGTACAAGGCACAAGAGTCTGGGATCGGAGCCACGATGCAGCCAGTTTGATCCGCAGTGTTGCCAAATCGTGCTTGCTCCATAAATATTTGACGCGTTTTACAAATTATCGCAATGAAATGTTTCTTTATTACATAAATTTAATAATAGAACAACAACATTCTTAGTGCCTATTGTACTAAGTTAATTCGACAATTAAAAAACATCAACGGATCAAACTGGCTGCATCGTGGCTCCGATCCCAGACTCTTGTGCCTTCTACTAAAGCTACGTTTACACTTTGTAATTAAAAAATTATCGACTTACATTTAAATGTAAAGTTATAAATTTTATCTTAAAATATATCTCTTTAAAATTGTTAAAAATAAAAAAAATTGGTTTAAATTGGTAGAGTCATTTAAATGATAGTCTATAAATTTTTAATCCAAAAATTACTACTTTAAAATTTAAAACTTACATTTAATGTAATGTGAGAATTTTTGTATTAAAAATTTATCAACTATCATTTAAATGACTCTTTAAAAATTTAAACCGAAAATTATTAAAAAAATTATAATTTTGTAGAATAAAATATTACAACCAAAACTACTAAATTTTCTTGTATTTTTAGCGTGCAAAAAATAGATATCCAGCTATGGTTTCCACTGTTTTCGTATATCTGATATGATAATACCATACCACATCTACTTTTTGCACTCTAAAATAAGAAAATTCAGTACTAAGTCGTCAAAAATGACTACTTTTCAGCAAAATAATCAAAAAGGAGTCAATTTTACCGACTTTGAAGCGCTGTATCTTCGCTTCTGTTCGTTTGATTTGTACAAAATTTTCAGGGTATACTAACAAAAATACGGTCTTTAACAGCATATTTTATATCTAGTTAAAAAAAAAACCCTAAAAGTTATTTTTAAACTGAGATATAAGTTGAAGTATTTTTATCCAAAATTTCATAAAGATTAGTAAAGGCGTTTTAGAGTTAGAATTTTGTTACTTATTATGCGTTAATTTTGACGCGCATTTTATCAACATTTACAAAATTTTTAAAATGAATGAACTGTAAATATTTAGAACATATTTCCAGATATTTTTGTAAATTAATAAAATATAAGGCATTCAAAACATTTACAAACATGTTGTAAAAACATTTTAGAAGCATTTAAATGATAATGAATAATATTTCTAAAATATTTGGTTCATTAGGCAAAAATATTCATTCAATATGACAACAGAAGTTGACGAAAATTTGACATCAAGAAGTTGAGAGTGGCGTAAGAAATGAGTGGCTGAAAAATATTCTTCCGAAATTTTCAAAAATCGTTAAAATTCTCAAACAATATTTAAAAAACAAAATAACTTGTTGAAATAAAAAATACAATTTTCATTATTTTATACATTACCTCCATCAAGCTGGCCCTTGATGTTCTATTGTTTTGTGATGATGGCGAACCATCGTTGCCAAATTGCGGCAGACCTTTCACGAATTTTTTATCAACGTACTTTGCTCGTATCCAACTTTCTCTGACAGCACTGTAATCGAAACGTTGTTGACCGTTTTTTAACGTTTTTAACGTTTTATAGTAGTTATACACACCCTATACAATCTTCAGACGCCCTCGTAAAATCCTCTGGCACGTTGGCCTCGTAGATTTTATTGACGACGTTGTTTCCCAACTCGGCCATCACCTTTATAATCTCAGGCTCCCAGTCGTCCAGAGTTAAAGATCTCACTTTGCTGTAGTGAACCCCCAAACTTCTATGCACCCCCGAACACTCTATGCACAAAGTAATGCCCAGATTAATGCTGGACCATCTAGGGTTCAAACTTTTACAATCGCAGCAATAATTGTTTCCCGGAATTCTCAACAATTGCTCCCACATCCTAAAAATCACCAAGAAAAATAGTGAAACAACTAATTTTATTCACAACACATGTGAAGTAACATTCTTAAATATGTTTCCATGATACTAAGTGACCTTTTAAATAAACATTGACAAGTTGTGGCTTTACGGCGTTTTAGTCACGTGCTGAAGTTAGTTTTAAGTTAGTTGTCAAATGTCATACAATCGTTAAACTAAAGCACATTTCTTGTAAAATAATTCTAAATGTGAAAATTATTTTATTAACTCAATACAAAAATACAAAAAAACGCAAGAAATATTTTATAAAAGTAGAGATACCTAATTATAACACACCTGTCAATTTAAAAAATTATCTCTACTTTTATAAAATATTTCTTGCTTTTTTTATATAATTCAAAAGAATTTTAACTTAAATTTAATTTGAAAAATCAGTGGGCCACCTCAAGACGTTGAGTAAAAAATTTTCTTTTTTTATAGGCTACAAATTCCACCCCCAGGCTAAGGAAAAAAAATTTTTTTTCGCTCAACCCTAATGAATAGCCTAATAAAATAAGAATATATATGACAATTATGATCGAAAAGTAATATATAATAAATAACCTACAATTCTTTTTATAAAAACAGTTTTGTGATTTTTACGTCCGTATGCTTGAAATGGCCGATTATCTTCTCTTTAACTGTGAAAAACTGCTTCTATATCAATTATTAGTCTGTTTTCAAGGGATACATTTTGATTTACACAGAAAAATTATAGTAATAAAAAGATAAAAGGATAAAATATTTTCTTAACCTAATCATATTTTAAAGTTATTTTAATATTTTAAAGTATCAATAATTGTTAAGTTTAATTAAAATTAATAACAGGCAATGTTAATGGTGACAAAAATGTTTATTGGGATGGTTAGGTACTTTATTTTCGTATAGATGTCGCATTATACAAATATTTAATTTAAATCATTCTTTAGATATTATTAAGTATTTGTCGTAAAAAAGTATAGTATGCAACTCGTTTAACATTAAATTCAATTCGTGACTAAATGACGTTTTAGTCACGGGCTAAAGTTAACAAGAGTGGCTTCTGGGCATTTTAGACAATTATAAATTGCGGTTAAATTTAACAGATGTCAAATATTTATGATTTTAATATTTTTCATTTTGTCCGGGTAAACTGTGTCCTTTTCAATTATTATATTTATTGTCCATTAATAATTTAAAAGGAAAAACTTAAAAAATGTCAAAAACTAAATTTAGAATAAATTTTATTCTAAATTAAGTTTTTGACGTTTTTTAAGTTTTACATAGGTTTTTAATATTCTAAAATAAGTTTTAATGACAATTTTTATTGTTTTTTATTTTTAAATGTATTTTCACATGGTAAAATATGGTTTGAAAATTTTATGTGACGATTTTAAGAAACTAAAGTTTGTTTTTGGTAGTATCTCCATTTGAAAAGTTTCTATAGAATGTCAAAATTTATTATATGATTATTTAATTTATTATTTATTAATTTTTAACCTATCAACATGATCATATTTTGTTTATTGAGTTTTCCGGGTTTTTTATAAAAAAAATTAGTTTTTACCATCGGCAATTTTTTTTTAGAAATTTTAAAACGAATATTGATAAACGATCGTACGATTTACAAAGAATATTTTTGACAGAAAAATGTACACCACTGACTTTTTTGTTATTTTTATTTTTTTTTCTGACTAAGCAACTAAAATTACTTTTTTTCCTTATGAATTTTTTTGGTATTTTGCTTAGTTTTAAAAAAAATCCACTTAAATGCAATTACAGGGATTTTATTTTTTTTCTAGCAAACAAGATTAAAAAAGTTGTATTTTTATCTGCTTAATCAGAAAAAAATATAAATAATACAAAAAGTCAGTGGCGTAAATTTTTTTGTCACAAATATTCGCCACTGGATTTAATCAAGTTAGAGCAAAATTATCCCTTGAACACTACAAATAAAACTGCCAAATTACAACAAAATTGGGTAAAGGATATTTAAGATATTTTCAAAAAAATAATTAAAAAAAACACCCTGTATTTTGAAAACGAAGTATTTGCGGATCCATATTTATTGTACATACATAAATAATACCCTGTATAAAAAAACTTAATTAAATTAAATGAAAACAATAATTTTAATTGATATATTAATATTCACAATTTTAATAATAAAACAATCGTAATCATTGAATCACAAAATTTGCTAGAAACCTTAAAAAATTAATAAACTTATACATTACCTAATCTTTTTTATCTTGTTGTTGTTGTTTACCACAGCACTGTTACTTTTTCTCGGGACATCTAGCGGATTCCTCTGCGAGTTTCTTTCGTTTGCGCCACCAAAATCCGTGCTGGATATTCTCTGAATCGCAGCTCCTATACCTTGCTGTAGTGCCATGATCCAAGCTTCAAACATGTCCTTGCTGTCTGCTTGTAGCATGTGGCTCCTTAAAAAAAATTTTTTTTAATGTTATTTTTTTTTTGGTCTTTCTTCTTACTTTGATGGTGATAAAACTTCGAAGCAGAATCTTCTCTCTCCATCATTGACTGGCTTTACAGTGCATATTCTGAGGTCTTCCTCCATTATTGTCTCTTGTTCTTCACCGGACCTTTTTCTGTGGTAAAAAAATGAAATGTATCAAAGCATGTATAAATATTTAATCACAAAATAAATAAGTAAATAGGTAGTGAAAGGAATGCACTAAAAAAGCTTTATTTTTTTTAATACCACTACAATAATTCACAATAAAGAATATTTTGTCAATAGTTAACATTGATAACTACTCTAAAGCTGTTCTATACACGTATGGATGTAAATAATACATTTTAAGCTCTTAACAATAATTTAAATAACTGGACCAACGTTGTTAAAGTTTTTTCATTTGATTGAATAAAACTTTCGTTTAATTAAATAAAACTAAGCCCGACATTAAAGTAAATAATTGTTTTGTAGGAAGTCTAAAATTATTATTTTATTTGAAGTCAAAATTTAAAATTTTAGCAAAAATTATTGTTATATCATCTTTAAATAGTTTACATATTTTTTAACCTTACACAGTGAAACTAAAAAGGAACTAAAAAGAAACTAAAGGAACTAAAAAGGAACTAAAAGGTAACTAAAAAGGAACTAAAAAACCAAAGAAACTAAACATAAACTAATGGAACTAAAGAAACTAAAAAGGAATTAAAAAGGAACTAAAGAAACTAAAGGAACTAAAAAGAAACTGGAGAAACCAAAGGAACTAAAAAAGAAACCAAAAAGGAACTAAAAGGGAACTAAAAAGGAACTAAAGAAACCAAATGAACTAGAAAAAGAACTAAAGAAAATAACGGAACTAAAAAGGAACTAAAGAAACTAAAGGAATTAAAAAGGAACTAAATAAACTAAAAAGGAATTAAAGAAACTTAAATGGAACTAAAAAGTGAAGTTTATGTCAGAAATTGTTGCCAGATTTTAAAGGCTTGAGAATCTAAAAATTGTTAGTGATATTCTGAACAAAAAATATTATGAAATCTATCTAAAATAATCATAAAATCCCAAATTGCTTCTAGCAATAATTGCATAAAATAAACTAAAGAAACTAAAAAGTAATTAAAAAGGAATTAAAGGAACTAAAAAGGAACTAGAAGAAACTAAAAAAACTAAAGGAACTAAAAATTAACTAAATAAACCAAAGGAACTAGAAAGGAACTAAAAAGAAATTAAATGAACTAAAAAGGAACTAAAGGAATTAAAAAGGAACCAAAGGAACTGAAAAGGAACTAAAAAGGAACTAAAGAAACCAAATGAACTAAAAAAGAACTAAAGAAAGTAAACGAACTAAAAAGAAACTAAAGGAACTAAAAAGGAACTAAAGAAACTAAAAAGGAACTAAAAAGTGAAGTTTATATCAGATATTGTTGCCAGATTTTGAAGGATTGAGAATCTAAAAATTGTTGGTGATATTCTGAACAAAAAATATTATGAAAACTATCTAAAATAATAGTGAATCATAAAATGCAAAATTGCTTCTAGCAATAATTGCATAAAAATAAACTAAAGAAACTAAAAAGTAATTAAAAAGGAACTAAAAAGGAACTAAAGTAACTAAAAAGGAACTAAAGGAACTAAAAAGAAACTAAAGGAACTAAAAAGGAATTAAAAAGGAACCAAATTAACTGAAAAGGAACTAAAGAAACTAAAGGAAAACTAAAAAAGAACTAAAGGAACTAAAAAGAAACTAAAGGAACTAAAAAGGAATTAAAAAGGAACCAAAGGAACTGAAAAGGAACTAAAAAGTGTAGTTTATTTCAGACATTGTTGCCAGATTTTGAAGGATTGAGAATCTAAAAATTGTTGGTGATATTCTGAACAAAGAATATTATTTAACTATCTAAAATTATAGTGAATCGTAAAATGCAAAATTGCTTCTGGCAATAATTGCATAAAAAAATTGATAGCACAAAATAATAAAAACGGCGATAACAGTTTGATAAGACATAAAGATTATGAAACAGGAAAAACAAAGGCAAAATATTAAGATAACGAAAACACATTTTCAATAACTTAATTAATTAAAAAAAACAAGGTAATGTGATGCTTCTTTACTGTATACATATTCTATGAATCATGCATTATAAATAAATAAAAACCCGGTATACAAAAATAAAAACTTACCTATAAACCAATTTATTTCTGTACAAATAGAACCACCTTCTGTGCCAAGATCGGAATGCATTTGACGTCCTTTTAAAGAGATAGCCTTCCATTATGGGCACAGTTTTTTGGTCGTGTTTGATGGTGATCCTGTCTTCCACGCCAACATTGGCGTGCCTATTTTCCAACTCTTTTTCCACCCGGTAAGTTTCGTCCGACATGTCGTGGATCTGCTCCAAAAAATTCAGTAACCAATTTGGTACAGGAAAATGTTTTTTATCGAGCATTTTGTTGCTCAATGTAAAATGTACTGTTGTGTGTATTAATGACGGTCGTTATACAGGTTTTGAGTCATCAAAAAACATAATCTTAATTTCCTAGTTATTTGCAACTGTTTTAAATAGTTAAAGAATTGCTGTGTTGTGTGTTTTGGTCTTGGGACAAAAACTAACTGAAATTTGCGGTATTTTTCTGATACAACAGAATTTAAATTATGCTTGCTGATAATAATTTCGGTACCCTAATCTATTTTTATTTAGCATTTAATAAATATTGGTTGTATCAAAGAAATGTTACTTTAGTATTCTTACTTTCTCTGACAATAATAATTATATAATTTAAGTTAAACTGTTTTATAATTTTATTCAAGAATAATAATTATTATTAATTGAAACAAATTTTAATTTGGAAATGTATTAATTAATAAATTTAAATTATGTATCTTAAGTTTAAAGCCAAAACTATAAATTTAGAATAATGAATTAAAAATGAAATAAAGCTAAAAATTATGAAATAAGGAAAAAAATTAAAACATATTTTTTAAAACTATTAAATAATATTAAATAATGAAAAAAAATAAAAGTATAGTATGGAACTGGTTTATAATTTTTTCTAGGCGTTTACAATTTTTTACTTTAATACAAATCTCCAAATTTAAAGGTTAAACATGTTAACATTTATATTTAAAAAAAAGGTTTATAAAATTCTATCAATAAACATAATTTTTGTAACCTTGATGAGTTTTACTGTAATAATTTTCCAAAATACATAATTTGTTTATAAGAATATTGACATTCAAATAAATTGTTCAAAGATTGGATTATTGGATGGTTATATTGTTCAATTAAATTGTGTAAACATTAATTAATGCCTACCATTGGGCAATGTTTGCTCAAGCTTGGACCAATCCTGGCCTATTTTTGTTTGTTTGAAAATTTTACAACTTATCTAAAAAATGGCTCTCTAACGCCATATCACGCTACAGAGGTATTTCTATTATTTTATTGTTTTAACTATTTATTTATGGGTGAATCTCACGAAATGGTGTTTGATTATTTATTTTTTACAATGTTTTAAAAGTCTAAAACCTATCCTCCGTGACTGTTACTCTTTCTAGGTTAACCTATATGTTTTCAAATATCTGAGGTAGTAAAAGCATACCAAAAATATCAGTTCACTAAGTAAATTAAACACATCCAAAGCAATCGAATCAAATATAAAATATTATTAAAAATTAAAAGAAATAATTTTTATAACCATTTATGTAGATGTTACAATAATTGATTCTATCCTCCGTGAATATGTTTTTGCTTTATATTTTATGCAACGGAATTAATCATTTTAAATAAGCAAAAACCTCTGTTTACGACATTATAGGTAGATGCATGTGATTCCTGAAGGTCAGTTAGAATTTATATGCAGATGAGAGTGTTACTGTTTTATAATTCAAGTTCATTAATTTGCTATTTAAAAACCTATCCACCGTGAAGTGTAATATTTCAGTAAGTAGATTTTTTTTAATGTAATATTTTATGTATGTAAAATTGTATTTTTAAAAAACATTAAGGTGTCAAAAGATACAATAACTTATTTTAAATATACAAAGGGATGTTTAAAAAAAACATACAAAATCCTAACCTCCGTGAAGCTCTAATATTCAAAATGTAAGATTTGTTAAAATTCTTGCATTAGTGCAGAACCACTTATGTTATGTTATTACAAGACCTGGTGGCTTCCCAAAAACCCCATACTAGACTAACAGTGAAACAACCAAAAATAAAAAATAATCATTTTTACTTGGGGGACATCTCAATATATTCACCCATATAACTTTCTTCAAAGTCTTTTGTAACAATTTTTTGATAGAGATTTAAGTAAAATATACCTACTTAACAAGAACAATGAAAATGTCGTTGATAGGCTAAATTTCAAAAATTGGTAAAGTGAAAATTACTTAACGAATTCGCAATATTTTCTGGTGGAAGTTGGTAATTAAAAAGTAAAATATTTATGACAAAATTTAATGTTTGTTAAGATAATTTTTTTAAAAGGATAGAAAACAATTTTTATAAATAGACAAAGTTTAATTTCTTAACAGAGCCGGCTTAAGGCAATTGAGCGCCTTAGGCACTTACAAATTTGGCTCCTCTAACTAGATACTATACTTACGGGGCCCGGGGCAAATTTTAAAAAAGCTTATTAGAGCCACCCCAAACTTATAACCTAATTATTCCTATAACCTAATTATTCCCTATGAATTAGAATACTTTTTATCATTAAAAAAATACATAAAAACATAAATAACATACAAACATAACAAATATAATGTAAATAAAAAGTGCGTTTTTCTGCAAGATGTCATTAGTAAGTATTTTAAAAAAATTAAATCAACTTTAATTTTCTGTATTTGTATGTTAGATGTACTGCTGGTTTATTGTAACAAAATGCTGGCTAAATCCACCTTTAGATAGTGTTAATTTTTCTGTTTGTTTTAAGGTATTTCTGAAATTTTAATATTAAACTAATTACAATAAACCAGCAGTACATCTAACATACAAATACAGAAGTTTTTGTTTGCAGTTTAAGATTTATTATTATTTGTTAATTATACAGTTAATAATAAAATATCTTATTCTACTTCAAAAAGTAGTGCCCTCGTAATCAAGCATGGTGATATAAAACCTGATTAATTTTATCTGAAATACATTTATGTATTTGGCATAAAAACAGAAGTGAATTTGCGGCACGCTTTTTTGTCGGCTTCACACGTCGTTATTACAAAGGAAGGTAAATTTGTATAAAATAATAAAAACAGTAAATAATATTCTGTTATTACAATTGTATATTGTTTATTTGTTTTATTTTTGAAAAACAAATAAACATTTTGGTAAAAATTTTTATTTTTTTAAGTTGTTTGGGGACAAGGCGCCTATTTCTACGTGGCGCCTAAGGCAATTGCCTTGCCTGCCTAATGGGTAATATGGCCCTGTTTCTTAACAACCATTTTTTGATAGGTTTGATATGACATTTAATGTCAGATTTTTTATATATTTTTATACCCTATATGAATATAATAATAATAAAATTAAAATCTGACGTTTAATTCTGACGTTTACATTCAAAATCAATCAAACTGTAGCGTTGTCATGGTAATTCAGCGGTGCCAATACAGTAAAAATAAAAGGTTGTATTTTAATTAACAAATTACTACTTTATAACAAATAAAAGTACCATTAAACACTTAAAACCACATAAAAAGTAAAAAAGTAAAAACATAAATTGTTTATTTGTTGTTATAATTGCAAAATTATGGTTTAAAACTGTCATATTTTTGTGTTTCTCATGTTGGCAGTACGAAATTTGAATGTTAAGCACATGGAGCCTACACAAGGAGCCCGAACTTAATAGGGAAAATTGACAAAACCTGTCCACTAAATTGCACAATTTAAGTCTTTTTTTTTCACCACCAGCGGCGCTGCTTGTTAATGCGTCCGAATGACGTGAAAATAGTATCGAAAATACATGTGAAGTAAGCAAGTAAGTTTTGACAAATCAATGACAATTGATTTGCAATAATGTTTTGACGTACGAATCGTTTTGTTATTTATGGCTGTACCTGGTAGGTAGATGCTAATGAAAAGGTTTTGGTTGTGAAATATAAGTGATTCTTTATAATCTGTGAAGTGAACCAGGTACATGGGTACATTGTTTTCAGAAAGTGATAAACTGACAGTTGCATAACCTCAATTATTTGCGCAATAATAAGTGGTAGGTAGTGGCGCCATCTCTGGTTATACCCCTCTACTGTTTTGGACCGGTAGTACACCAGCGCCCTCTTATCTTAGGAAGATTCTTGTTTACATGAAGTTCGGGCTCCTTGTGTAGGCTCCATGGTTAAGCACACGACTAAAAAATTTTTACTCCCGCTATTAGAGTGTGCGCGTATAGCTTGACCAATGCAAGAAACGTAAACTTTCTGCCGTGGAATCGGGGACGAAACAACGTATTTTGAGTCGAGGTAGTAAGAAATAGTGCTTTATTTGTTCCTAATAGGAGCCCTGTATTTTAATCAAAACAAAACAAAAAAGTAAATAAAAAAGTTAATCAATTTAAATTAAAAATCCTGACTTATTTCAACCCTATTTTTGCCAAAAACATACTGAATTTTCCTAAAAATATTTTTCCAACTTACCTCATCTGCTAGAGTTTTGAAAAACGGTTCCAAATCCGAGCACAAATCAGTACCTTGATGATAATAAGTACTACAAGCATGCATGTAAGACAAAATCTAAAATAAAACAAACAAAAAATCAGCAAACCTGTTCAAGCAAGCAAAAATCTTTTAACTCACCGTGCTCAAAATTTCATGCCTTTTTTTGGTTTGCAACAAACAAATGCTATTAACATAATTCAAAGTTTCATGGCCAAAACACGACCTAACTGCCATCAAAATATTCTGAACCTCTTTGACCTCCTGGGTTTTGCTTTTTGGAGTTTGGGAGTTACGAAGCACCACATTGTCATATTCAGTTGAAATTTTTTCAAAGTGGTTTTTGTAGTCTCTAACTGACTTTACGTCTCTACAAGGGACAACAGTAGGTTTTGTAAAGTATTCTTGTTTATTAATTAATAACTTACTTTTTTATGAATGATGTTAGATTTTTCAGCACTGTTCTTGACGCTTGGTCTAATAAAATTGTGTGGAATTTGTTCATTTCTTGCAGACTATGTATTAATTTATTTAGGGAAGAGAGAACAGTGGGGTCCTCTTTAAAATGGGCACTCAAATCCCATAAACTATTTGCAAACAAGCTAAAAAAATCCAAGATTAAAAAAAAGATTGAAAAATTTAATATTTATAAAATAACAAAAAAACATTATCACAACACATTCCCTATGTGAGAATTATGTAAAACAAAAACAATGTGTTGTTTACACTAAATAAATTAACTTGTAGGCCTAAAACCATGTTTTAATTAACTCTAATTACAAATTAAGATGTTTAATTGCTCTATTAAACTTGTACAAAACAAACCTTTGTTGGGCCACATATGTTTTTCCTGTATCTACCATACTTCCACATACTTTCAATATTTTGTCTAGTTTTTGCTCCAACTGATCAATACTAGCCTCTTCACTCTCCAAAATACACCTTTAAATTACAACAAAAACAATGTTTTATAATACCAGTAAAATGTTTGTTTATAAACATGAGAATCACCTGAATTTAGGAGAATCCCGAAGGCACTCTTGTATATCCAATTTGCCCAGCATTTTGTATGTATTATTCGACACAAATTACCAGAATTATCATAATAAGTGCACTGTATAATAAGATTATTTAAAACTGAGTCATAACGAAGAAGACAACCCACTTTCTTCTTTTTTATCGCACGTCAAACTATCTGTCAAATTTAATTGAAACAACTGCCAACGTAACGGAACTAAAAGTCCCTAACGTTACGAGGGGCAGTCAAAATAAATGTGGAAATGTTAATCGTGGAAAAAATTAAATGTGAAATAAATGGACAATAGTTATTTGCCTAACTTTAAAAAAAGTTTATTTTAAACAGTTTTAGCACATTTCAGATAATTTATGAGTTAACTCATAAAACGCTAAAAATTTTTAGATTTTCAAGTTTAAGAATATTATTAGGACACATTTAAGATATTTTCTCTACGACTACTTAAGAATAGTAACATTCTAGTGTAATTTTTGATCATAGAAAGGATGTTTTTCTGCAATACTGTGCGAGAATATTCCTACTCTTGTATAAGAATGGTCACAAGTAACGACATCTCCTGGCTGTTTACTAAACGTAAAAAATTTAAAAATATTTAAATATTACTTTATTATTTATTATTTAAAAATAATAGCAGTTGTAATTAAGGTTTAGGCACAAAAAATTAGTTACATTTATTGTTTTTCAAATAATAAAATCAAAATTATAATAAATTTGATATTAAAATGATAAATCAGTTACCTACTATACCGGCTTTGAAGTTTTGACAGATTCAAAAAGTTTAAAAAAAGACCTTTAAAACGTTGAAAAAGAATGGATGTTGACATAGATTACTTGTAAAATTAGTTTTGTATTTGTTATTTTTTTTATTAGTAAGTGTAAATAACTATTTTTAATTATAATAAAGATTTAGGCATACCAAATTTATTATAATTTACATTATAAAATTGTGACGGCACAAAATGGTTTGACAATACAAAAAACTTAAATGTCAAAAACTGCTTGGTTTCTTTTCTCTGTTTAAAATTATATAAGCGTTACTATTCTTACGTAGTCGTAGAGAAAATAATGTCTGAAACACGTTTGGAATAGCATATTCCACTCTCGTAAAACCGTCACACTCGCCTTCGGCTCGTGTGTCAAATTTTTCCTCGAGCGGAATATGCTGTATTCCAAACTTGTTACAGAATGTACTATTAATAATTTTAGGAGTTTAAAGATTAACCAAAGATTAAATTTAAAGAGAGAAAGAGTATATTTAATCCTAATTAGGATTAACTTTAAAAAATGTATATTTTCCAGTTTTAGGACATTTTAGATCATTTATGAGTTTTAAGACTTCAGTTTTAATAATTTTAAGACACATTTCAGATATTTCATAATTCTTAGGAGTTTAAACATAAACTTTAAAAATGTTTATTCCAGTTTTCAAATTTAATTGAAACAACTGCCAACGTAACGGAACTATAAGTCACTAAAGTTACGAGGGGCAGTCAAAATAAATGTGGAAAAGGTAAAAATGATAATTGTGGAAAAAATTAAATGTGAAATAAATGGACAATAGTTATTTGATTAACTTTAAAAATGTTTAATTTTAACAGTTTTAGGACATTTCCGATAATTGCTTTTAACTTCATTTTTAAGAATTTTAGGACATATTTAAGATATTTTAATAATTTTTAGGAGTTTAAAGATAAACTTTAAAAATGTTTAATTTCCAGTTTTAGGACATTTCAGATAATTGATGAGTTTTTAGAGTTCAGTTTTAAGAATCTTAGGACAAATTTAAGATGTAATAATAATTTTTAGAAGTTTAAAGATAAACTTTTAAAAATGGTTATTTTCTGGTTGTAGGACATTTCAGTTAATTTACGAGTTTTTAGACTTAATTTTAAAGAATTTTTGGACACATTTAAAATAATTTAATAATTTTTAGGAGTTTAATTAATTAAATGTCAACTTTTAAATTGTTTATTATTTATTATTTATAACAGTTTTAGGATATTTCAGGTAATTGATGAGTTTTTAGATTTTTAAGTTTTTAAGAATTTTTGGACACATTTAAGATATTTTAATAATTTTTAAAAGTTTAAAAAATATTTATTTTCCAGTTTTAGGACATTTCAGATAATTGATGAATTTTTGGATACTATGGTTTTAGTCTAATGGTCATCTGGATGGGAAAAAATAAAACACGAGGTAAAAATACAGGTTGTCAATTTTTATTAAACACATGTATTTTTAAAACTACATGGGTAGTAAAAAGCAAAAGTTCTCAAAAGTTAAAGCTTCTTCCTGGGTTTAGTCAATTACAATTTTCCTACTGACTTGTAGTCTACAATTACAAAATATTACTTTTTGTATTAATTCATGGTGTTTTCACTACACTTAAAAATCGTTTCAAGGGCCAGTTTTATGTGGTTTTACCTTAAAATAGTTTGTGTTTGATAAAAAATTCAACGAAAACGTTGCAACATACATAGATTTTATATGTACATTAAGCAAAAAACTTGGTAAAGCAATAACAATATTTACAAAAATGTTCAGGGTTAAAATGTTTCTTTTATTAAGTGTTGTCTTGCAGTTTTTCACTTTCACTGCCTTCTGTTCGAGGGGTGTTTGGTGTGTTGTTCGAGGACCCCACCGATGGACTTTGACTAGTAGTTGCTTCACTTTTTTCCTCAGGTTTTTCCAAACAATCGCTCAATTCTTCGTTTACTTTGATGTTATCTTCCGAACACCCGCAATATCTGCAACAATTTCACCAACTTAGGACATTTTTAAGACGTTTTCAGTTTTGGAAGATAAACATTTTAGACTGTCTTAGATATTTTAGAAAATTCTGAGTTTTGAAACATTTTTGGGAGTTTTAGGACATATTTTAGACAGTTTTTTTAATGGTTTTGGAAGTTTTAGGACATTTTTAAGACGTTTTCAGTTTTAGGAGATAAAATTTTAGACTGTATTAGATATTTTAGAAAATTCTCAGTTTTGAAACATTTTAGTTTTAAAACATTTTTGGGAGTTTTAGGACATATTTTAGACAGTTTTTTAATGGTTTTGGAAGTTTTAGGATATTTTTAAGACGTTTTCAGTTTTAGGAGATAAAATTTTAGCCTGTCTTAGATATTTTAGAAAATTCTGAGTTTTGAAACATTTTAGTTTTAACACATTTTTAGGACACATTTTAGATAGTTTTTTAAGAGTTTTGGGTAATTTTAAACAGTTTTAGAACATTAAACAATTATGAGGAATTTTAGAAGTTTTAGGATATTTTTTGAGTTAAATATTTAAGCCATCTGAATTATAAGATTTTTAGATCATTTAAAACATTTAAGAAAGATATATACACTGCACGTCAAAATTAACGCATAATAAGTAAAAAAATTCTCTAAAACGCCTTTACCAATCTTTATGAAATTTTGTGTAAAAATACTTCAACTTATATCTCTAACAATAAAAAAACGTTTTAAATAACTTTTAGGTTTTTATTAAGTAAATAAAAAATATGCTGTTAAAGACCGTATTTTTGTTAGTATACCCTGAAAATTTTGTGCAAATCAAACAAACAACAACGAAGATACAGCGCTTTAAAGTCGGTAAAAATGACCCCTTTTTGATTATTTTGCTGAAAAGTGATTATTTTTTACGACTTTGAACCGCTGTATTTTCGTTACTGTTCGTTTGATTTGTACAACATTTTCAGGGTATTCTAACAAAAATACGGTCTTTCACACCATATTTTTTATTTACTTCAAAAAAAATTTCCCTATAAAAGTTTTTTTAGCGTTTTTTATTATTAAATAAAAGGGCTTTAAGGATATTTTCTCGAAAAACCCTTGAACACGTAAACTGAGATACCTATAAGTTAAAGTATTTGTATCCAAAATTTTATAAAGATTGGTAATGTTGTTTTAGATTTGGATTTTTACGCGCAGTGTATATATTTTAGGACATCTAACAATTACTTTTGAGAAATGACAAATGAATGAAAACTGACCAAAAATGATTTTTATCAAAAAAATTTAGTCCAAAATTTTTAGAAAAATCAAAATTGCAAATTAACCATGGACAATAAAAATGTTGCATATTTTGGGGGTTTAAAATCAAGCAAAAGCCTATTAATTATCAAGAATAAAATTTTCTAAGAAATCAACTGAAATTTACTACCTCCCTTAAAACGTTTATGTGATTTTTTTTATTTTTTCATCCACCCGAAAATCGGTGATTTTTTTCAAACGCTTAATACTTTTTCAAAAACATTAATTCGCAATTTTTAATTTGTTTTTATTTATTGAAAATTCAATAATTCAAAGAAATTAAAACCAACAACAATTTTCGGTAATAAAAAAATAACAAATGGCGTACTTTGAAAAATTAATGTTTTTTTTAGAAAAACTGAAACATTTTATAAAATAGGACTTTTTTGTATTTGTTTTTCTCAAAAACAAGTTTATAAACGAAATATTGATAAGTAAGATATCACTAGGGTTTTAAAATTTCATAAAAAATTTTGCCGGCGGAAAAAACGGAAAATTTGGGAAATACAAAAAAATACAAAAGTCAATTTTTATACTTATACTTATATATATATATTTTCAATTTCAAAGAAAAGTCACTTTTCATAATTTCTTCTGCTTGTTATATAAATACCATTCACGATGAGAAACTTATATTTTATTATACAGGGTGCGCAAAAAAATACAATTGTAGATTTTAAAATTAAAAATTGTTAAATATTTTTTTTTAAGTTCTAATATGAAGAGCTTGTAAGGAGAAATCAAAAAGCCAAATAAAGGTTTTTCATGTGAGTTGTTGTTACTAAGATATTTGTTATTAAAAATAAAATCAATTCAGGTCCTATTATTATTATTTTGTATAAATTGACTATCTCATTTTGTGATTATGAATCAAGGTTGTTGACATGTCTACAATATCTACAATTATTTGATAAAATTTGAAAACTAATATCTTAAATTTTCAATATCAAATATCTTAGTATAAAAAACTCATGAAAAAACTTCATTTGACTTTTTGATTTCTCCTTACTAACTCTTTATATTAGGGTTTAAAAAAATATTTAAAATTTGTTAAATTTTGAAAATCAGTATTTTTGCTCACCCTGTACAACTAAATGGATGTTTCTCAACACGTATTTATTTAACAAGCAAAAGAAATTATGAAAATGACTTTTTCTCCAAAAAATTTAAAATAAATATTTTTACAAGTATAGTTAAGTCCATCCGTGGAAATACTGTATATTTAACACGATTTATATAATTATAATTTTGTAATTTAACTTTATAAATCATTCATTATTTGTTAATTGGATATTTGATATTTTTGCAAAAAAGACCCAACCGACGTTTATTTTCTTAAATCAATTTAATTTAATTCAATGTTTACTTTTATTTGTTTTTTATGTAAGGTTTTTTTTTATTAAAGACAATTTTTTCAAGGCTTGGGAATAAAAGGAAAAAAAAACAATTTCCGGTTTTTTTTCGACACTTTAAAACCCTAGTCATCACAATTTTTTGTTTAATTTTTGGTTGGGTAAAATTTCAGTCAAAGCTTGTATTAGCTTTAATCTTATGATGCCCTGGCTATAAAGACCATAGCCCTAGGGCCAGCTGGCATCAAAAATACTCTGGCTAAGTGAAAAAATCTGCGAAAACTTACCTGTTAAAAATGTTGGTGTAAATGTGGTCGATGCCCTCGACCGGCACCGGGTGCAGGCGAGATTCGCACTTTTCAGTCTTCAAAAGGTAGTCGGCGTAGACCGACGGCGCGTTCGGGGTGATGCCGCTAGGGGTCGCCTCGACGCGCTCGCTCGGGAACATGGTGCTCTTAGTGTACACCTGGATGGGCCTGCGGAAACCCTTCGAGTGGTGGCTGGGAAAGCCCAGTATTTCGCTCTTAGCGAAGCCCACGGCCGGAGAGAGAAGGTACTCCGTGAACTTTTCCGGGAAGAATTCTATCGAGTTGTAGTTTTTGAAGATTACCGGCTGAAACGGTCATACAACGGATTCAAGATATGTATTTTTGGAAGATTTGTTTTTTGTAAACATCTACCATATTTTCATTTGTTTTAAATATATACACTCTATAGGGTGAGTTTTAAGTTGACGCGTTCCTTTTAACAGTGTGTAGAAATCAGCTAGACAAAAAAATATTTTAAGTAACTTTTTTATCAAAACTCAAAAATAAAAAAGTTATAGCCATCAAAGTTTAATTTAATTTTAAGCCGGTCCTGGCTATTGTTAACGAAAAACAACCATAAAAATAAAAATAACAAAATAAACAATGCAAAATGTCATATTTGACAACAAACATAACCATTTAAATCAAATTGACATTTTGCAATAAAAAATGTCATTATTTACTTTACTTTAAGTTGCAGCATTTGCATTTTGACGACACTCTCCATAAATTAGTAACATTTCCATATTGCTATAATTATGAACCATTTTTAACAATAATTGAGGCACAAAAAAACTGACATTTTTCATTGCTAAATGTTTATTTTGTTATTTTTATTTTTATGGTTATGTTTTTTGTTAAAAAATAGCCAGGACCAGTGGCGTAGCGACAGTACCGCGAACGCCCGCCAAGCGGGGGGCCCTAACCTCGTAGGGGGCCCGGCCGATACTTGCCCCAAAACATTAAAATACTTATTTCCATCTTACTTATACTAAAAATTGAATAATAATGAATGATTAATTAAAAATATCATAATTTACTAAAATGTAGGTAGGTACTTGATATTATTGGCCTACCATCACAACATAAATGTAAAACATCTAACGGAACCTTTTGATGAATTTTAAAAATCGCGCTTATTTAACAATTGACAGCGGGTTTACGCAGGAACGATTCAGAACTTGGAAACATGCGCCTAACTCTAAACAGATATGCGCATTTAGTTATGCGTATTATTCTGACAGTTCTGAAGCGTTCTCTTTGCGAACCCCTAAAATTTTGACGATTGTGATTCACAAGTTGTTAGTTTGTTTTTGTTTTATATTCATATTGGTTCAAGTAGGTTCTTATTTGTGACTGCTTCTGATTATTTTATTTTTCCACTGTTTTACATGCGTTTCTCGCCGGTCACCTGTTGTGAGCACAAAGTGGTCTAGTATTTACATGTAAGTATTTCTTTTATTATAGGTTAGTTTAATATTATAGAGAGTTTAATATATAGAGTTACTGAGTAAATATTATTAACTAAATATACCTATTAGTTGATACGACTTTAGTTAAATTTTAAAATAAGATATAAAGATATATATATTAGGCTGTGCCAAAAAAACTCGAAATAGTTTTTTTCTTGCTCTCCACCCAAAATATCGTAGAATATGTCCGAACAAATATTCTGTTAAAAGCGGAGCTCATAATTTCAATTTTAAGAGGTCCCTCATCGAATCTGAAGTTTTGCCGCTTAAATAGCACAGAAAACTGACCATTTTACATTATTTATTCTTGCAACCTAGGAAGAAATTTTTTTTTCATAAAATCCATGACCAAATCTTACAAAGCATTAAACTTGGACGAAAAAATCTTATTAAGCCGAATTTCTATTTTCATTATTTGATTTTTTACAGAGCTTTAAATTTAAAATTTTACGTTTTTTGCCTTTTTCAGCTAAACTATTGAAGTTAGACGAAAAAGTCAAATGGCAATTTTTTAGCTTGTCTGATGGACCACAAAAAAGTTCTAGGCGAATTTTTTATATCGTCAATATTCTAAAAGTTACAGGCGTATAAAGTCATCATTTTTGTATTATTAACTTTAAATTTAAAGCTATGTAAAAAATTAAATAATGAAAATAGAAATTCGGCTTAATAAGATTTTTTTGTCCAAATTTATTGCTTTGTAAGAATTAGTCATGGATTTTATGAAAAAAAAAAATCTTCCTAGGTTGCAAGAATAAATAAGGTAAAAAAGTCAGTTTTCTGTGTTATTTAAGCGGCAAAACTTCAGATTCGATGAGGGACCTCTTAAAATTGAAATTATGAGCTCCGCTTTTAACAGAATATTTGTTCGGACATATTCTACGATATTTTGGGTGGAGAGCAAGAAAAAAAAAATATCGAGTTTTTTTGGCACACCCTAATATATATATACTAATAAGATATATAAGATAATAAATATACTAGTTACGTTTTGATATAATTATAGTGGGTATATATTAAACTATAGTGAACATCCATGGGTATATTGGTTATTTTTTTATGTTAAAAAAATGTTATAACTTATAAGTAAAATAATAGAAAATAATATATTATTTTCTATTGTTTTACTTATAATTTATAAGTAGGTACAGTGGAGAACCTTATTTTTTTTTAAATTATTTTTTCGTTACTTTTTACTTTTCGTTTATAAATAATTTAAAAAATCATGTCACCGGATGTATTATTTTTTATTTACAATATAAAACCATGTAAAAAATACCTGAAATCAGGGGACCCAGTAAGGATTTTCGCGGGGGGCCCGAAATTTGTCGCTACGCCACTGGCCAGGACCGGCTCAAAATTTAATTAAACTTGGAAGGCCTATAACTCTCTTATTTTTGAGTTTTGATAAAAAAGTTTATCTGATTTCTACACGCTGTCAACTTAAAACTCACCCTGTATACTATAGTAAACCCGAGTAAACCCGTACGCTAGAAATGTGACATGAAAAAAACGGTCCGTTTTTCAAATGGTTTTTTTTCATATTTTAGGTTTTTTTCCAAGATTAGTTCTATTTGCCTAATTTTTTGTTTTTTTAGTCCAGTTCATAGACGCGCTTGTTTTGATTTGGTCTTAAAAAAAGGTAACTACCTATAACACTTAAATAATAAGAAATCAATTTTTTTTATTATTGGTCAAAATTTTCAATAATAAAAAATGGAATATATTCTAAATTTCACTTTATTATTAATATACATTTAGCTCAAAATTTCATATTAAACAATACTCAATTTTTTAAGATTGGTGTTATTTATTGACAGAATATGCTGCTTTATTGTAGCGGATTTGAAAAAAAAACGAAAAAAAATTTTTCTAGTTTTTTTTCACATCTGAAAAAAAAACGTTTATTACCTACATCTCTACCGTATGCCTCTTCCCAGATGCATATTTTGCATTTGCTAGTGTGTATTTCGAGATAAACATTATACAAAGGTTTAAAACAAATGGTTGTATTTAATTTATTTATTTATTTACATTTTTTTTAGAAGATTGATTTTTAGTTTTGTTTTAAGGGAATTGATTTATTTATTTTCAAGAAAATTATTTTTTTTATTTTAGTCTGTAAAGGAAATTTATTTTCAAGAAAATTATTTTTTTTTATTTTAGTCTGTTAAGGAAATTTTTTATGTTTAACGTTTTTTTTTTAATAAAAAACTTTTAGTTAAATGCAAAACAAATAATGATTTTACCCCTTTAATTAATAATTTACTGTTAAAAGTGATTACGTTACATTTTGAGTATCTGAATCATTTTTATAAGTATATTAACTTAATAATAAGTAATTCGTATTAATAATTCAGAGCAAACTTCGACTATCACCCAACGCCGGTGAAGGGTCTACTGCTGAATTACGAAAACCGTCTCTCGGCGTCTCCCACTCTTAAAAATTGTTCACCCACTTTTAAAAGCATATTAGTAAGAGTGGCGATGCGTGAACATGACGCAGAGAAAAGTGTTCCTGTCTATGCAAAAGTAAGAGAGAGAAAGAAAGAAATAAATCCAAAATGGCGGCCGTCGTAAGGGGCTACAGCGTTTTGAAAAATTTTAAATTCATTTGATGACTTTGAAGATGACGCTTGATAGATAATTGATGTAACGTGTCAAGACTTACGAATGAAGCATATGCAAAAATAAAAATACAAACACAACCAATTTAGTTGACAGTTCAAACTTTTTTACTTGTTAAAAACCATTAACAGGATGCTTAATAAAGTTCTTAAAATTGTTTTAAATTTATAATTCGCACACTTTTCTTGTGTCAGAAAAGAATTTTGGTCAAGTATGTATGTAGTGTATTTAAAACACTCTAAATGGCGACACTTTTCGTGTTATAAATTGTTTTGTTTATTTTATTCATAAAAAGTAAAAAAAACTTTTTTATATTATTTTGAAAGTTTTTTTATAATTTAAAATTTGAAGAAATATGTTTTTTTTGTCAAACTTTTTTTTTAATTAAAAAAAAACCGTTTTTTTCATCACTAGTCTGCCTGCTACACTAACAGTATTTTAAAGTTATTTTTAACGGAAAATTTATAGCAAAAATCATTTTTTTTTAAATGGTATGATCGTTTTTGGTGACAAATTAAATTAAACCCACAAAAAACTATTATTATTAATCCTAAATAAAATAAAAATTGTCCAAAAAGCAAAAATAAAACTTAAACCAAAAATCGCTTACCGTCAGCTTTTTTTTGCTTTTGTAGCTCGACCAGTTCTGCGGCTCCAGGATCAGCTTCCCGCCGGGTCGCAGCTGCGCGTACATCCGTCGGAACGCTTGCTTGATACCCGCGTCGCCGAAATTCAAGTGTATCCACTTTGTGATGCTCAGACACAAAATGAGATCGAACTGCGGCTGCTCCAGCGCTATCAACGCGTCGTCGTCCAGTACGTAATTACACTTAAAAAAAAGAGAAAAAAATCAACGTGACAACAATTATAATTATTGTTAAAGATGGCGGTGAGTTTGACGTTTGTTGTGTCTGTCATGTTTGCGCGTACTTAACCTTAAAATAAGCGACATTTGTTGAGTTTGACAGGTGAAATAAAGATTGTCAATGACAATTTGTCATGGCTAGGGTTTTAAAAATGTATATAGGCAAAATTTCCAAAGAAAAAAATGAATTTACGACGCTGATTATAATCCTTAGAAGGTTTATAATCAGATAAGTTATAATCAGAATATTATGATTATTAGGGTGGCGCAAAAAAACCGACTATTTTTTTTGAGTCTCGAGTGAAAAAATGTTAGTTTTTGATGTTTTAAGAGGCCTCTCCAAAGTACAGCTCAAAAAAATTTTTTTTAGAGATCGCTCCAAATTTTTTTAAATTTAAAAAATCTTCAAAAATCGATTTTTTTTTTTAATTTTTTTTTCGGTACGGTATTGCACTAAATAAGAAAGATAAAATGTATGGAATTTTAATTTGAATATTAAAAGGTCGCTCGAAAAAATCTAAAGTAATAATTCACTGATAAATTAAAAAAAGCAACCTTTTAAAATTTAAATTTTGAACTGAAACTTTCAGAAACTTATTTTTTTGTCTGTAAAATTATACCGTACCAAGAAAAAAAATTTAAAAAAAATGATTTTTGACGATTTTTTAAATTTAAAAAAATTTGGAGCGACCTCTAAAAAATTTTTTTTTGAGCTGTCCTTAAAACATCAAAAACTAACATTTTTTCACTCGAGACTCAAAAAAAAATAGTCGGTTTTTTTGTGTAATTAATGTAATATATTAAAATACTGAATACCTTTTGACATAAGGTGTAACGGAAAAATATTTAAAAAAATATTTTCCCAAAGATACAGAAAAAATATGCATTAGAAGTTTTTTATATTTTTTGTGATACGCCACTGGTTGCACACTTGTGTTCTGTGAGTACATAGATACCAACCAACAAAGTAGTGAGTTTTGTAAAAAAAAATTTACTAAAAATGGTTCTTGCAAAAAAATAAATTAAAACTCAATAGATACAAAAGTTTTATGCCCTTAAAGCTCTAATACCCTTTTGTATTTATTTACTCATACATAACACCCGGTATTATAATAATTATTACTTTTATTTTAATTTAGTAAGAATATTCTACCGGGCCGCAAAAAATAACATATTCGGTGCTTTATTAACCTAACTTTTATTTAACACTGATTTATAAATTTCAATATGTATATTTTACGTTGACGTTTATTTTCTTAAATCAATTTTAGGTTTTTTTTTGTAATAAAGGATATTTTTTTTAATTAAAATAATGTTGATTGCTACTATTTGTAGAGGTGTAAATTTTCCACAAAAAAATCAAATTTTTCCAAAAATGACAATTTTTTCAAGGCCTGGGAAAAACGAAAAAAAAAAACAGATTTTTTCCCCAATTTTTTCGGTTTCTTCCGGCACTTTAAAACCCTAGTCATGGCATTCCATTTCACTTTTTAATCGTAAAAGTTTTAAATGTAAAAGAAAATTAAAGTACATTTTTAAAAATCATGGAATTTGTAATTTTTTTATAATTTTAATTATGTCTGACATAATATTAATTAAATAAATTATATAATAATAATAAATTTAATGGAAACAGATAGGAAAAATAGCGAATTATTATTATGGCTAGGCATAATAATATTTATTTTTTATGATACATTTTAATTTTATTATTTATTTATTTATATTATTTTGTTACTTGAATTAATATTTGCGTCATTTAAATTTGGTCCATTTTTATTTTTATTATTGGAATTATTCTGATTCTAAAAACAATTTTTTTTTAAGATTTTTAAACTATTTTACTTTACTCTATTATTATTAGTTGCAATTTATTATTTACAACACGAAAATCATTTTTATTAATAATTAATTTTATGTGTACACATAAAATTAATACAATGAATTTTTATGTTACTAATAAAATTATAACTTTACTTAATAAATATTATAGAATTAATTTTATCTGTACACATAAAATTATATAATTAATTTTATGTTTACACATAAAATGCATAGTAGGTATATATTTATGCGTAATTTATCTACTTATGTGTAGACATAAAATTAAATATATAATTTTATCTGTACACATAAAAATTTTATTATATAGTCACAATTTTAATTGCAAAATACAAATTCAGTGCATTAATTTTATGTGTACACAAAATAAATTGTATAATTTTTTTTTGGAATTAAAATTATGCGTACACATAAAATTAATTATGGCACGCCGTTTTATTTCTTAATTGTTTAAGAAATATTAAGTTAAATATTAATATTGCACACAGAAAAATTATATTAAATAAATAATTCAACATTTTATATAAACATATTTAAAAAAAGAATAACTTCTTTGACATTTTTTAAGGTTGATTTGGATATTTTTGGTGTACTTACGTGTTTAAAAGTGACATTATTAGGGAAAGCTTCTCCCTTGTGGTCGCCGAATCCTGGAATGTCAATTGCCCCATATAATATAGGCATACTTATAGGAAAAAACTCACTACTGTTATCTGTTTGTTGGTAATTTTTGGCCACGTAGTGTTTGATATTTTTCCTCGCGATACCGATCAACTTGTCGTCGATGTCGATGCCAGTAATGGACTTGGCTTGGAGGTCCCTGGCCACAGAGAGGGTAACGTGGCCGATGTTGCAGCCAATGTCCAGGATATCTTTGCTCTCAAACAGATTTTTGTGGTAGTGGAACACTTTCAGCCGGTGGTCTTCGCTGTTTTGGTTCCTGTAGCCGTAATATCTGCAAGGAATTGGAAAAAGCCTTAGAAAATATTAAAATTAAACGTGCTAAAAATTATTTCTGAAGACTTTCCATAGAATTTCTTCAAAATTTAATATATGATTTTGTAAGGCCTCAAACACATTTACAAATAATTTCAGATTTTTTCACAGCACAGCACAGCAAAAAAATAATTGTTAAAAGTTAAAGTTAAAAAATAAACTATAATTCACAATCCACACAACAAGGTCTGTTCTATCTCATACTAAAAATACAAAAAATCACTGCAACACTGCACAGTTTAACGGCGGCCATTTTTGTTGTTTACAATTTTTGTGCTTTGGGTTTGTGCTCTGTTTATACAGATTAATAATCGTTTTAAACGTTGTGTTTCTCATAGTAAGCCTTAAAAGAGGCCTTCAAGTGCTAAGAACAACCATTTTACTCCTCTATTGTAAAAAATAAACTTTATTCTATCAGGGCTGTCATAAAACTGTCAAATGTCAATTTGAAGGTTAAATTATAACCCACAAATTAACCTTCAAATTGTCATTTGACAGCCCTGATAGAATAAGGTATATTTATTATAAAAGAGAAGTAAAATTGTTGTCCTTAGCACTTAAAGGCCTTATTCGAGGCTTACAAGTGCCTCTGTAAGAAACACAACGTTTAAAACAATTATTAAACAGCACAAACCCAAAGCACAAGAATTGTAAACAACAAAAATGGCCGCCGTTAAACTATGTGCAGTGTTGCAGTGATTTTTAGTATTTTTAGCATGAGATAGAACATACCTTGTTGTGTGGATTGTGCTATAATCATTATTGTTCGTGCTGCCAACTTAATAAACTCAAAATCATACAGTTTTAACCCTTAATTTTGCCATTATAACAACAAATTAACAATTTATATTGTAACTTTAATTTTTGTTGTTGTTTTTAGTTTTTAATGATAATTTGTGATTAAGTATTAATTTTTTAATTAAAATATGCAATAATGCAATAATTTTTCTATAAAAATATCACTTTTTTTGGTAATAATTATCTTATTAAATTAAATCTGATTTTTTTAAGTAACCACGATTTTTTAACTAGTACCTATTTAAGTTTCCTTTGGTTTAAGTTTTATACATTATTTCATTCGGTGATAATTATCAAGTGCGCACCATGGTCACTTTTTACCTGCCAGCATTAAATCCTTTAATTTAAAGGATTATGGTGCTATTTTTTATAAAAATACCTCATTTAAGGTAAAAAAAAACCATTATTTTGTCAATTAATTAATTTAATGCTAATTGAGGTATAAAAAATGGTTATTTAGTTATAAATAATAATTATTATTGAGGTACAAAGAAACTAATTATACATAGTTTAGCATTATTTAATCAATTTAGTTCAAAGATTAATTTGCAAACAAAAAGACCTCCTTTCGTTAAGCAGTTATTCATAATGGATTTTTTAACAGTGAAAGAAAAAATAGAAATTATTTTGATTTATGGAGAAGCAGGCAGGAATCTTGATGATGCTGTTGATATCTACGCTCAGCGTTTTCCGGAAAAAATTCGATCACGTACTTCATTTCACCGTACAGTCAAGCAGTTTACTACAAACGGGAGTGTTCAACCGATTGCGCGATTTTCGAGACACCCGGTTAATACAAAAAAATCATAAATATAACAAATTGTATCTAACTTTAATGCAAAAAAATGTGTATCAAAATATCAAAGTTGTCCATTTAATTTTTAATTGGACATATTTGATAAGGTTAAATTTTTTTAGTAGGTAATTAAAAATTATAATTGTTATTATTGGGTACAAGTAGAGATGTAAAAAAACGGTTTTTTTTCAGAAGTGAAAAAAAACATGAAAAAAAACTAGAAAAAAAACTTTTTTTTTGTTATTTTCAAAATGAAATTTTGAGTAAAATGTAGAATATATTACATTTTTCATTATTGAAAATTTTGACCAAGACTAAAAAATCTGATTTCTTATTATTTGGTAGTTTCAACATTAAAAACCAATAGTAATGTAAAACTTCTACACTAATACAAAAAATTAAAAGATAAAATTTTTTTTTGCGATTTTTAGGGTAGCTGTATATTTTTTAAAAATTGTTGTATTGGAGCCGTAAAACAAGCAATTTGAAGCTTGAAGTTTATAGTTTTAAGATTTTTAGATGAAAAACGTGCAACGCTCAATTCTAATGAATACCGTAATAAAAAAAATCGATTTTTTTTAATTTCTTTTTTTTTCTGACCACCAATGAAGAAATGTTTTACAAGAATTTGCTATTGTTTTTAAAAAAAAATTCCATACTACATAAATTTGAAAAATCATGAAAAAAGTGCTTTTGGTAGCTTTTTGAAAAATCAAACTTTTTTTAGGACCAAATCAAAACAAGCTCGGCCCTTATAAGGTTTTTTTCATTGTTTTTTTCAAATGGTTTTTTTTCAAGATTAGTCCAATTTGCCTAATTTTTTATGTTTCCATGGACTAAAATTAGTGCATAACGCGAGACTGTATTTACATTTTATAATTGTCATTTAGTGGCTAATTTTAGTCCATGGAAACATAAAAAAATAGGCAAATGGGACTAATCTTGAAAAAAACCTAAAATTTGAAAAAAACCATTTGAAAAAAAACAATGAAAAAAAACAAAAAAAAACGGACCGTTTTTTTTCAAGTCGCATCTCTAGGTACAAGTACTAATGTAATTCTTAACCTAACAAAACCACAAAACCCAACCACTCACCTGTTGTAGTTCCCGTACTGAAACTGCTTGTTCTTCTCTTTGAAGAGAGGCAGCTCTTCGTTCACGGGCTTGTTGTGCCTCGGCTTGTCTCCCCTGGAATTCATCCTCTTCAGCCAGGCCCCGGGCTGCGGAACCACCGGACTGACGATCTTGTCCATGGAATGCTTGAACTTCTTCGCCACGTGCCCGAACTCCTCCGACTTCCGCTTCTTGTCCTTCTTCGGCGACAGCAGCTCTATGCTCAAGTCTTTCTTTAACTGTTCCGTATCTGTGGTGATTTCCACCTTGGGAATTTCCGGGATTTTCGCCGAATCAGACGAGTTTTCCGGAGTTTTAGCCGAATTTGAGTTCGCGTTGGGATCTTCTTCTTGAGTCTCGCTTGCAGTGGATACGGTCCTCTTCTTCTTCAACCGCTTCTTCCGGCCCTTTTTGATCGGCGAAGCCAATTGCTGTTCGTACTCGGCATCATCGGCGCAGTCGATCAAACTCAAAGGATCGTTTATGTTCGCCGGGATTATAACCTCGATCTGCCCCTTCCTCCTCGGCGGGGTTGGTATAGGCGAAGACTTCGGGGTTACGGCGTTCATGGCCCTGTTGATCTCCTCGTCCTGCAGACTGTTGAGGTTCAGGGGGTCGTTGATGTTCCCGCCGAGCAGGAACTTCGTGGGCAAGACAGGCTTGTGGTTGATGATGATGCCGCAGCCGCTGAAACTTTTAGACCGCTTCCTTCCGCCGCGGTCGTGCTTGAACTTCCGCTTCGAGTTGTTGTTGAGGCTCTTGTTGTTGTTCGATTGGGTTGTTTTGGGTGGAGGCGGTTTAACCGCTTGCACCACCTCGCTCACTGACGACATCATCGTGCAGCTGAAAACAAAAGAAAAATAATTTTAGGTTGGGTTTTTTCGGTTTTATTCACGTTTCGGAGGATTTTCTCTGTTGATTTTGCCGATAGGGCTTCCGAAAGTCGAGCTGTACTTTTTTGCGGACTCTATTTAAAAACATCACTCACAAATATAAAAATCGTTGCTAGGTTTTTTGACGTCAATATTGTGTCTGATTTATTTAAATATTTAAAAATTGGTAAATATTATATTAAATCATAATATGAGCAAAGTCAACAATCTCCCATCAGACTAAAACTGAGTAAATTGAGATCATTGATTTTGGTATTTTAAATTCTAGATTTGTAATTTTTTTTATATATTATATTGAAATATTGTTGTTGTAAGTCTGGTAGCCAACTACAAGGTCTCCAGGATGCATAGTATAGGTAAAATCTATAATAATTATAAATTGGAGATTGCTGACTTTGATATGAATTGCTGGAGATTGCTCATTTTGTTGTAAACGTTTAAGGAGATTTAGAAAAATAAACAAAAAAATAATTGTTTTTTTATTCCTTTAATGGGTATAAAATTTAACTATACCATCAATGTGGGAATATTCTGAACTGGACCACATAAATCAGGAGTTTCTTTTAAATCTGGGACCAGGTTGCCTCGTGCAAAAAAGTTTTTATAGTACAACTCATCATCTTCTTCCCACTTTGCCCCGTAATGTTTTACTTGCAATGTTTTGACATTATCAGCCTTTTCTTGCTTTACCTTTACGTCTTATTATGGTATAATACCACAAAATAAACAAGATAACTTTTTTTATAATTCTTAAAACAATAAAACGTATATATACCTATTACGGTGTCCCAAAAAAAAAGAATATATTTTTTTTTCTTGTCTCTTGTAAAAATCTGTTAGTTTATCATGCTGTGAGTGCCCTTTCAAAATATCAGCTCGATTAAAAATTTTGTAGGGGTCGCTCAAGATTTTTTAAAATTTTCAAAATGGTCAAAAATTGAATTTTTGTTTTATTTTAATTCTTTTTCTCTTCTCGATATTATTTTTTAGGTTGAAAATAATAAAAATTCTGTAAATTTCAAATTAATATTTTGATTTCTAAAGGTCGCTAAAAGTTCGTTGATATTTATATTCAGAGGTCGCTCGAAAACATTCAAAATACTCTACTTTGAAAGTTAAAAAAATCTTGAGCGACCTTTAGAAATTAAAATATCGATTTGAAATTTTCAGAATCATTATTATTTATAAATTAAAAAATAATATCGGAAAGAGAAAAAAAATTAAAATAAAAAAAAATCCAATTTTTGACGATTTTGGTAATTTTTAAAAATCTTGAGCGACCCCTAAAAATTTTTTAATGGTGCTGATCTTTTGACAGGGCTCTTAAAACATGACAAACCAACATATTTTCACAAGAGACGAGAAGAAAAAAAATATTCTTTTTTTTTGGGACACCCTAATACCTATTTTAAATATATTAAGTGCCATTTACTGCAATAGTACCAGTAAAAAAACACAAAACTAAATCTCTAAAATACGTTATAACATCAAATGTTAGGATATCAGGTGACACAAATTACTAATTTCTAATGGTGGAATTGGAGATTGTATACTTTGCTGCAAATCTATCAGTGGAGATTGTTGACTTTGCACTAAATGTCATTTTTAAAATAGGATTTTGGGCAGGATTTAGCTCCTTTTGCAGGACATGAATTTTATCATCTTATAGATAATTAGTTGAAGTACAGTCTCCGCCAAAAATCTAATTTTTGACCAAAAGTGGAGATTGTCGGTTTTGCTATGACAGGCCTCATATGCCTGCATGTGTTGAAAAATGTAAAAATAATAAATTTTGTAAAAAAGATTCTATTCTATAAATAAGGAAAAATTGTGTTGAAAAAAAAAGTGGAAAAAAACTGAATAGATTGAACCCTAACAAAATTGTTTTGTTCATAATAATTGTTGATAATTTCAACAATTTTCTTAAAAAATTCTTGCAACACAACAGTGTTAAAAAAACTTAAATAAAAATAAACTTTGGAAAAATTTAAAAATCGTAAAAGCAATTTAATCGGATATTTTTTTAGTTTTAATGATTTTTTAAACTAGGTACTAAAATATTTAGATATTGCATTGAGAAATTTTATTTATTTAGTTATTAATTGCTGTGGGTTTCGTTATAGCATTGTGATGATACCTTTACTGCCCTACATTTTCAAACAATCCATTTTAAACCATTAAGAATAATTTGTTTTAAATTTTTAAATAAGTCTTGTAAACAATTATTTTGTGTGCAAATCAGGATTAAAATAAGTTATGACTTTTATAAAAAACGTCGAAAAAATTCACTTTTTATAATTTATAAAATACAAACTCGAAAATTGAAATTTATTTTATTATTTTATTTAAATGTAAACTTTATTATACGTTTTACAAAAAAATTCATTGTTTATAAAAACTCCTGGTTAACCAGGTTTCAAAAATGAGTTTCACAAAAAAAATGTGAATTAAATGATTGTAGATTATTTTTTATTTTTGGTTGGTTCACTATTCGTCTAGAATGGGGTTTTTGGGAAGCCACCAGGTCTAGTAATAACATAACATAAGTGGTTCTGCACTAATGCAAGAATTTTAAGAAATCATACATTTTGAATATTAGAGCTTCACGGAAGATAGCTTCACGGAGGTTAGGATTTCGTATGTTTTTTTAAAACATCCCTTTGTATATGTGAAATAAGTTATTGTATCTTTTGACACCTTAATATTTTTTAAAAATACAATTGTACATACATAAAATATTTATAAAAAAAATCTACTTACTGAGATATTACACTTCACGCTGGATAGGTTTTTAAATAGCAAATTAATGAACTTTTGAATTATAAAACAGCAACACTCTCATCTGCATATAAATTCTAACTGGCCTTCAGGAATCACATGCATCTATAATGTCGTAAACAGAGGTTTTTGCTTAAGTATTTAAAATGATTAAAGCGCCTTCCGTTGCATAAAATTTAAAGCAAAACAGATTCACGGAGGATAGAATCAATTTTTGTAACTCCTACATAAATGGTTATAAAAATTATTTCTTTTAATTTTTAATAATATTTTATATTGGATTCGATTGCTTTGGATGTGTTTAATTTACTTAGTGAACTGATATGTTTAGTATGCTTTTACTACCTCAGATATTTGAAAATATATAGGTTAACCTAGAAAGAGTAACAGTCACGGAGGATAGGTTTTAGACTTTTAAAACATTGTAAAACATAATTAATTGCGGTTAAAAATCTGGAACCTGAGCTGTAATTTCTACTTAATTTTGAAAGATCAAAACACAATAAAAGTGTAGGTCAAACACGCCGCGACGTTGCCAAATATCGAAGGTCACGTAAAAAACAGTTTTTCTCAATTACCTCAGATTTTTGGTCTAATTTAAATTTAGATACAGATGTTAATATAATTTAAAAATTAAAAGAATCATTATTTACCCGTTTCACGATGCAATTAAATTGGAATTAATGTATTACTTTCTTTTTCTAAAAAGTCATTTGATTTAATTCACGAACTAAATCACTCAATTAATTCACTTAAATTTACTCGCGCCAACCCTGGCACAAATTAAAACTCTTCTTCGTAAACATCAGTTCATTTTGCTATTGTGTAATCAATAAAGTAAATACACGTTGTCAAGATATAATTCACAGTAAAAAAAATGTAAAAAGAAGGATTTTTAGTTGTAACCAAATAATTTTTGAAAATATTATTTTATAAAGATTTAATGTAATGTACCGACATAATTAAAAATGTTATTACATTACATGATACAAAGTTAAATTATAAACCAATAAAATTTTAAATTAAAAAATTAAATTCTATAACGGCGGGCCATATATTTTATTTTAGTATTTATGATTTTTATTTCAATACTAGTTTTATCAAAAATATTTTACCCGCTAACAAAAAAACACACTGTATAGGATATACATAATCGCATTGAAACATTTTTATCGTCATATTCCTTTTAAAGCGTAAACATTTACACTTAAATTCTAGATTTTGTACCCTTTTACTCAACACAGTAAACGTTATTTGTAATGCATTTTTACGCGATTTTTTTTTTCGTTTATTTTCATTCCAATTTCGTATCAAATCGCTTCCAAGTTTGGACAGGCAAAGATGGTCGTCGTGTTAGCGCAAAGCGACAAACTGGTTTCGAACGTCTTAGAAAATTTGTGCAAACATTTTTAAATGCACTTAACACATATACAGCGCGCTGTGGAGATGCCTCTTTGTTTTGTCCCATATATATTTTTATTTTAATTTTAACACACCCTTAATCTTATATTTTTTGCATACAATATATTTTAATAATAGGATAAATCAAAAGGGATTGGTTGAAAGGCCTTGAAAAAACAATAGGTCGTTATAATAAAATTTAAATTTATAAAAATTACCATTATTATACAAAATATTGATTTACCTTATCGTACATTACCTGCATAAATATATATGTACATATAAATAATTAAATTAAAATTAAATTAATAAAACCTAGATAGTACATAGATAGTAGATATTACAGCTCAGGTTCCAGATTTTTAACCGCAATTAATTATTTTAAAAGTCTAAAACCTATCCTCCGTGACTGTTACTCTTTCTAGGTTAACCTATATATTTTCAAATATCTGAGGTAGTAAAAGCATACTAAAAATATGAGTTCACTAAGTAAATCAAACACATCCAAAGCAATCAAATCAAATATAAAATATTATTAAAAATTAAAAGAAATAATTTTTATAACCATTTATGTAGGTGTTACAAAAATTTATTCTATCCTCCGTGAATCTGTTTTTGCTTTAAATTTTATGCAACGGATGGCGCTTTAATCATTTTAAATAAGGAAAACGTCTGTTACGACATTATAGATGCATGTGATTCCTAAAGGTCAGTTAGAATTTATATGCAAATGAGAGTGTTGCTGTTTTAAAATTCAAAAGTTTAAGTTCATTAATTTGCTATTTAAAAACCTATCCACCGTGAAGTGTAATATCCCAGTAAGTAGATTTTTTTATAAATATTTTATGTATGTACAATTGTATTTTTTTTAATATTAAGGTGTCAAAAGATACAATAACTTATTTCAAATATACAAAGGGTTGTTTAAAAAAACATACGAAATCCTAACCTCCGTGAAGCTCTAAAATGTATGATTTCTTAAAATTCTTGCATTAGTGCAGAACCACTTATGTTATGTTAAAACCCCATTCTAGACTAACAGTGAAACAATCAAAAATAAAAATTAATGAATGAATGAATTAAATTAATTTTATTTTGTCTTTATTATTTAATAAAAATAAATCATATTCCTGTTATAAATTTTATAATACAAAATCCTTGACAGCTGTTGTTGACATGGTTGACATATATTTTCTGACACATTATGTTAAAAACTAAAACGTTTTTATAAAATTTTTATAATAAAAATTTGTTTTATAGTTCAAAAATTGTTTTTTTTTTGTAAAAAGTAGGTATTACTTTATTATTATTATTAATAAATATTAACCTTTTTATTTGAATAAATTTTCTTAAAACATTAAAATGTTATGACTCAAAAACAACTCATTCCTAAAAAAATGTATACCTACTTAAAATAGACACCAGAGGAATATTTAAATTATTGCGATTAAACAAAATAGTCGCTTAATTCATTTTAACAAATCCAGCTGGCATTAAAAGTTTTAATTTAATTTAAAGCCAACTAAAATATCAGACTAAATAATAAATAAATAAAATAGCAATATACAAAAACTTGTAATAGCAGTCCGCCAACATTATATATTGATTTTCCGTTTTGGAAAAGCGAAATTTCCACTAAAACGAGGACAAAGAGTTTCCATAGAGATAATAGAGCGCGAGCTAAAATAAAAAATAATTAACACAGCATTTTGGGACAGCCAAATTCCTAATAGAGAATAATCGCGGCAATTTAATTTAATTACCTAATTAATTAAATGTCACTTTTAACACAGGTGCATTCGCCATTTTTGCAATGATTTAAGAGGTTTTAATATTATAATATAATATTAATTAATTAGGAACGAGAACAATAAATAATACCAAAAACTGAGGAAATACATTTTTTAAACTTTTTTCCTTAATAACATTTTTCTTATAGAAGTTATTTCAAAGTAAAAATAAAGTTTTTCCTTTTAAGGAATTTGTGTGTCTTGGAAAATAGGTAGTTAAGATATTATTTTTACTACACACAAAGGTTAGTGTTATATAAAGTAAACAATACAATTAATTGTATAAACTTTCAATATAAATAGGTACTATAAATTTAAAGCTTTCGTTTATTTTAGTATCTACATTAAAACGATAACGAAAAATATGAAAAATGTATTAATTTATTAAGGAATTTTAAAATAATTAAAAAAAATTAAGTATCAAAATTCCAAAAACAAACAAAAATGACCCATATAATTTTGAATCCAAGACAACAAAATCAAAAAATATTTGATATTTTCATTACACGACGAACAACATGGATAGAAAGAAAGAAAAGGCTATAAAAAAGTAGGGCGCAAGCTGGCAAATCCCGTACGTTGTGGGAATGTTCATAAAATGCATAGCTACAAAACATCAAATCTATTTCACTCCTAGAGAACCTCACCAGGCTTTCACTGCCCCACAAAACTCTTCACTCTACATTATTTACTAAAAATTATTTAGAGATAAAAAAATGAAAATCACAATTTTCCAATTAATTAAATTATTGTATAATGTCTAATGCGATAATTGGTTTGTTAAAAACCAATTATTTCTTGAAACATAGTTAATTAGGTTAATTAATTATTTTGTAGTAGTATAATAAATTTCTATAAAATCAAAACAAATAAAGGCCTTAACTTATAGAATTATAATTACGTATGTTATTTTTAAACATAAACACCAAGTTTCATGACTTCATAGTTCTAAAATTAATTCAACCATTTATTACATTACGTTTTATATTCAATGTTTTAAAAATGACTACGGGCAATTTCAGCGAAAGAAAAAAGAATAAAAAATATAAAACAATAGTACTAGGTACTTATAGGTCTTAATGAATCGTATGTTGTTTCATTTTAATTATTCTACTACCTACTTTGCCTAAATAATGAAGTCGGTAATATGTAATCGACCTGCATCAACAATTTAAAATTAAATCCTGTTTTCCTCCCCTTTTTAAATGCGTAACGACAAAAATACTCAACAATGTGACAACGTTTCAAGGTCGTTTATCTTTATATTCAAAAATACATTTTATAACAATATAAAATCAAAACACTATTTTTATCCACTAGGTACATACATAGGTATCAAATGTTATTGTTTAAAAATAAATATTTTGTATTCATATTTTTCATTTATAGTTATAGTTATACCTACCTATAGGTACACAAGAAATAGAGTTTAAAACAATATAAAACTCTACATACCTACATAGATAATACCTACGTAATAATATTTCACAAATGTATAAGAATAAATATTGGTATCGCTATAAACGTTATAAAATGTATAAATCTTATTTTTTAATTTAAAAACGTTAAGTTAAAAATAAAATAGGTAGGTACATAGGTACATATCTCAATATTGCTGGATAATAAAACGATTACGTTACCTCTTAAAAATTAAACATTACTAATTTATGAACAATTTGTATTATTTAAACATTTTTCCATAAAACCTATAAAACGTGTTAAACCAAGCCCCGAAAACAAAAATTGTTACATTTCAGCACTGCAAAGTGTCCAAAATTACCGCACAATTAAATAATCCGAATTACATATTCATAAATTTAAAATAAATTACTTCCTATGTGTTCGGTTCCCGCAAAAAAATCGCCAATGCGCGTGCGCACATCGTAACAACAACTGTATGCCATTGCGGAGATTTACCAAAGAATTTTTATCGCCGAATATTTCAACTAAATCAGACAAAAATCGTGCAAAACTTACCTACAATGGATGACACGTGCAATTCTCTATCTGTTCGACACCTTTTTAGGCTGGCTCGCCTTTACATTACGCCGCAAACGCGCAAAATACAAGACACTTCTCTGCAACGCACCTAAGAAACGTCTACAATCGTTTTGCTTGTAAACTAGACTCCATTTTAATTTTGTAGGAAGGTTCCGCTGTTGCCACATAACTTTCCCCAAATAATTGTATCTACATTACCAAACAAACCGAATAAAACTTTGCACAGCAATAATTCTCTGTAATAAAATAAAAATGGTACTTAATAATGTTTGGATGTTCGGCTTTTCGATACGAGAATTAAGTAATTATAAACAACAAATAAATATTTCGCTGGGGTTTTATTGCACAATCCGGCAACACGGTAAATTTTACGGTTTTAAACGAGTTTCACCGATTATAAACTTATTTTGTATACGAGGTGCATTTAAAGAGTATAAAAACGCAAGTAGATAAAAAACTACTAAAAACAACATTGCTTTCAGCAAAAATTACATGCCTCGCCAAAAATTACATCGATAAATTTTGGAAAATTGAAAAGCATCAAATCATGCCTATTTTTCTATTGGTTACCAAAAATGACGTTTGACAATTGCACCAATCAGGTCGCTTGATTCATAAAATCGCGATCTCGCGCTTAAAACAATTGACACGACGGGGTACGCCATTGTTGTAGTTCGCGTTGTGGTGATAGTTTGTTGTAAAAATGCCGTTGTTGTTGAAAAAGAAAGTGCCGTTCAAGAAACCCAGGAAATCCAATGTACTGAGTGTTTCGTCGAGATCACGAAGCTATGCGGTTTTTGGAGAAAATTCCACACCGCCTAGTCCCACCATTTTGTTAAACGATGTCGATATAAGGCAAAGCTATTTGAAGCACCTTAAAAGTTCGCAGGATTTGTTTGAGAGCGACATAAAGGATTTGAATAGATTGTCGCAGGAACAAGAAGTTTCAAAGGCTTCCAGCAGCAAGCAAAGAAAGAAAAAAAAGCCGAGTCTACTATGTGGTAACAAAAAAACCGAATCAAAAAACCACTTGAAAATTGTGCTGGAAAGAAGCAAGGAAATACAAGGGAAAGAGGATTCAAGGAGCAGTTCTGAAAATTTGTTTGATGATGCTAATGTCAAGGGGGCTTATGCCAAATATTTAAGGTTAGATATCATTTTTTGCTTGGATTTTTGCCCAGAGGTCGTGGGTTTAAATCCCACATTGCTATGGTTTTTATTTGTGTGACACAAATTGAGTTTGTCCCTTTGCATTGTGTATATTTAGGTCCTTTAGAGGGATCTAGAACCAATAAATTTGGCCTTGCGTTTTTTATATTTATATAATATAATATAAATTATATTTCACTAAACTTATTCATACTTAGGTAGCTTAGGCTGGCTTAGTCAGTGCCTGAGCACAATTCTGCGCGCCCGGCCAGGAATTTTTTTTCAAGCGTACAACAACACATAAGCCTATATATTTATACGCACTTCAAAAGTCAAATTATTATACACCGCCGTACAAAAATTAAATCGCATCGAGTTGTTACATTTTTATGATTGAATTGTAATCTTATTTTAAGGAGTTCATATAGTTTATTTGATGATGATATCAGAGACTTGCAAAGCTTGTCTCAATCCTCAATCCCAGATTCTGGGATAAGTTCCAGAAAGTCTGGGAAAAAAAATAAACCAAAGAAAGACAAAAAACGCAAACGGGTTATGGAAATTACCAAAAGTATATCTATCATGGAAACTTTTGATGATACCAGTTCATCTCCTTCACCAAAAAGAAAGCATATTCAAGAAACTGATCCAAAAGAGGCCAATAAAGGTAAGTGAAGACTAGCTTAACTTTTTTGACTTTGGTAAAATTCGGTTCTTTTATTTTCTTTGTTTGAGATTTTTGATCAATATTCTAGAATATTCAGTCTACCTATATAAATTTAATATTCTTTATTTTCTTCAAGAGCTAAAAACTTTTTTTATAAAAAAAATTATGTATGTGGGTGAATCTCACGAAATGTCCCCCGATGGTGTTACCCCGTGATATTTAATAAAAACTAAATGAGTTTGACCTACACTTTTATTGTTTTGATCTTTCATAATTAAGTAGATATTACAGCTCAGGTTCCAGATTTTTAACCGCAATTAATTATTTTTTACTATGTTTTAAAAACCTATCCTCCGTGACTGTTACTCTTTCTAGGTTAACCTACATGTTTTCAAATATCTGAGGTAGTAAAAGCATACTAAAAATATCAGTTCACTAAGTAAATTAAACGCATCCAAGGCAATCGAATCAAATATGGAATATTATTAAAAGTTAAAAGAAATAATTTTTGTAACCATTTATGTAGGTGTTACAAAAATTGATTCTATCCTCCGTGAATCTGTTTTTGCTTCAAATTTTATGCAACGGATGGCGCTTTAATCATTTTAAATAAGCAAAAAGATGCATGTGATTCCTGAAGGTCAGTTAGAATTTATATGCAGATGAGAGTGTTGCTGTTTTATAATTCAAAAGTTTAAGTTCTTTAATTTGCTATTTAAAAACCTATCCACCGTGAAGTGTAATATCTCAGTAAGTAGATTTTTTTATAAATATTTTATGTACCTATGGACAATTGTATTTTTTAAAAATATTAAGGTGTCAAAAGATGCAATAACTTATTTCAAATATACAAAGAGATGTTTTAAGAAAAACATACAAAATCCTAACCTCCGTGAAGCTATCTTCCGTGAAGCTCTAATATTCAAAATGTATGATTTCTTAAAATTCTTGCATTAGTGCAGAACCACTTATGTTATGTTTTTACAAGACCTGGTGGCTTCCCAAAAACCCCATTCTAGACTAACAGTGAAACAACCAAAAATAAAAAATAATCATTTTCACTTGGGGGACATCTCAATATATTCACCCATGTAGGATAGGTCAGTGACATTCAGTGCATCCCTGGTTTTGTCAAAAAAAATTATAATTATTTTATTAAAAAACAGTACCTCTAATGCAAAAATCATAGAGAACAAACTTTCTTGTTTTTGAGTGTACTATCATCCCTCCAAAGGATGACAATTTATTAGGTAAAGAAATAGTCCTAAGACATTAAAATAAAAACCTATAAAAATGTTTATAACTAGATTTATTGCCAGGGGACTGTAAAAAATCGTCCAAAACATTAAAATAAAAACCCGTAAAGTAGATTTATTGTCAGTGGCCTACTGTAAAAATAAAAAAACTCTGGAACTCTCAACATAAAAAAAGTTGCAGAACCACCTTATGCCACCACAAACATCCACAGTTTGTACAATGCTGGAAGTATTGTTTGGGCTAGAATAGATGGATTCCCATGGTGGCCTGCAATGGTTGATGAAGACCCAGATTTCAAAAGTTATTATTGGATTGAAGAAGGCATCAATATACCGGTAAGTTTGTTTTTTCTTAATATAAGCTACTCATAACATGTTGTTTGGGTGTTTTTAGACTTGGTATCATGTTACCTTTTTTGATTCGGCCTGTGTAACCAGGGCTTGGGTAAAACCAAAAGATATAAAGGCAAACATCCTAAATCTTACCCCAAAATCCAAATATAATAAGGTGTTCACAAAGCGTCTTGATTATTCTATTAAAGAGGCAAAAATAGCTAGCAGCATGGATTTACCTGAAAGATTGAAGATATATTGTTTTCTTTCGCGTTACAAGGGTAAAATTGTTTCACCCAAAACTTGTTGAATAAGTTTTTTGTTTAATATTGTTAAGTTTATTTATTTTAAGAAATAAAGTGCTGAATTATTAGATAACGATTTTATTAAAAAAATTGTTTGTTCTTGAACAAATATTCTCTCTTCTATGGGATAAATAACACCGCGAATCCTATAAAATATTACATAATTATTAATATATACAAATTGAAAAATAGTCTCTAACGAATCACGGCGTTATGTAATCCTTTTTAATACAAAATAATAGTGATATTAATATAAAATTAAAATATATAAGTTTTGGTACAAAATATTCAAATAGATCTCCCAAGAGATTTAACACAAAATAAATAATACAACTAGAGGGCCATTCACTAACACATTTCCCGGTAAAAATGAGAGCAACAATCATATTTGTATAACAAAAAAACGTGTAAAAAACTTGTTTCAGGCTAACTTCGCCACCAAAGGAATAAAAATTCAATTTAATTTTCTAAAACAAAAAATACTTATCCCTGAATTCAAACAAACTTTATCGACCCGGCAACATCGCACGCTCGCCTACCTTGTGTCGTATCTCCGATCGGCTGATGACGTCATTGAAGCAATTAACAATCGGTAACCATGGCAACGAAGTTAGCCCTTGTAGTGTGGGGCACTTTCGCGCAAAGGGAATTTCCAAAAATAACGTGTAAAATGTATTTTATGAAATTAAGTTCCATAAATCTGTATGCAAAAACAATTTTGGTGACATTTATTCATCATATTTTATAATGATTTAAAAACGAACAAAACTATTTGAAAATACGTTTAACCCAAAAGTACGTTGAGGAAATTTGATTTAAAAAAAATGCCCTACAGGGGTCTAAAAATTGTAGTATATTAATTTAATAATAATTTCAAAAAAAAATTGTTTTTTATAAAAAAGTTAATTTATCAGGGTTAATAATTTTTGTTCAAAATGTGTTTTTTTTAACTTGCAAAAATTTTTTGTAGGAACAAAAAAAAAAATCAAAAATAGGTATGTAAAAAAAATCCAATCAAATTTCCTTGAAGGAATAACCTATTTCAATTTTGGGCTCAAAATGATCATTTAAACTCCTAGAAACATAAAATGAAAAAAACTTTTGGGTTAAAAGTATGATTTTAGATTTTTTTTTTAAGTTGTTGGCATATTTATTTTTAGGAATCTTTGTCAAGATTTATAGGAATTTTTTTCTAAAAAAATTAATATTTTTCAGGCTATTTTTGAACACCCCTGTAATCATGAACAAAAGTATTGCATATTTTTAATTCAAATGTTTAATAATAAGTTTTTATCAGGCAAAGTTTACTTTACAGGACTTATTTTCCACCTTTTTTTTGTTTTTAGCAAAATTACATTTTCCTTTGTTAAGTCAATTTTACAATTTCCTTGTACAGGGTGATCCCCTATAATGTCGCCCCCCTTTAAATTTTTTATTTTAAGTGTCCCATAAATTTAAAAATGTGGTTATGTAGGTACTTTTTTTCTAAGTATAAAAAAAATGGGAATAAATTTTGGTATATGGTATGTTATATGAATTATGCTTAGAATTTAACATTGAGAAAAAAACTCTTTGTTTTTCCCTGAATAGGGGCCGTTCATTAATTACGTGAGACAATTTTGGCGATTTTTCGACCCCCCCCCTCCCCTTGGTGAGATGTCGTGAGATTTTGCTCGACCCCCTCTCCCCCCCCTTAATCTCACGTGAGATTTTTTAAAATGCATGGTTTTAATGTAAATAAGTTAATCTGTGCTTGATTCCATTAGATTTATTTAAAAAAACAATTTGCTTATAATTGTTTACTTAATTTAACCCGGTTTTCTCGCAATTTTACACTCTTTCTTTCGGAAAAAAAAATTACGTGATATTTGCCGAGAGCCCCCCTCCCCCCCACGTAAGATTTGGTGAGGTTTGGCTCGACCCCCTCCCCCCCTAAACACCTCACGTAATTAATGAACGGCCCCATACTGATCAATTTTCCAATTTTTTCTATAGGTAGAAAAAAATAATTTTTCAGTACCACACTTTAAAATTTTTTGGGACACTTAAAATAAAAAAGTTAAAATGGGGCGGCATTTTAGGGGATCACCCTGTACATTAGGGTGGTGCGAAATATGAATATTTTTAAAATTGAAAACGCCTGTATATAGAATACTTATGTATGGTAAAAATAAATATATTTTTTATTTTAATTTTTTTAAATTTCCTTCTACCGCCCCAAAGCCATCTTAATCATAAAAATTATAATATTCAGACGGAGGTGGAAAAGTTTTTGAGCCAAGAAGTTATTTTTAGCATAATTAACTTTTACAAAGTACCATTTAGCTTGTTTTTTTTTTTGAAAATCAATTTGCCCAATTTTGGAGAAGTTAGTTATGCCCTAAAAACATCTTGGCTAAAAAAAATTAACTGTTTTTACCCTCTAAATTTTATAATTTTTATATTTAGGATAGCTCTGGAGCAGTGGAAAGAATTAAAAATATATTTTTGTTCAAAATATTTATTTTTATCATACACAAGTTTTCTATATACAGGCATTTTCAATTTAAAAAATATTCATATTTCGCCCTACTGTACACTGTACTGGGCCAAAAAAATTTATTGTGAAAGTTTGAGTCCATAATATTAATATTAAGAGGTCTATCATGGCAATTTAAAAAAAACTTTCCTTTGCGAGTTTTTGTCTCAGAACTCCCAAACCATTGAGTTTAACAAAACTGACTCATTGATATTTTTTTAAGGAAATTGAATGCTCTACAAAAAAGGCCTAAATGAAATTTTCCGTCAGATGAACCGTTTCCTTAAAATCATGCCTTAAAAATTGGTGTAGGTTTACAATTTGATCTTTTAACTTTGGAATTTTGTAATTCATGTAAAATTCAGTACCTGAAAAACGATAAATATTCTTATGGCAAATCAAATGCTCTACAAAAAAGACTCTTAACATTTTCACTTAATTCACTTTATTATAAGTTATTCAAGGTTAAAGTTGAAGTCAAAACAAAATGATTGGATGAAAATTTGATTTTTTCTTTATGAATGTGTATTATATAAAAACAGTGAAAATAATATTTTCTAAAGAAAATTGCTTCTTAAAGCGAAAAAATTCGAAGGTGTTATATATATTTTTTTAATTTTCAGTTATTTTATCAATAACATAAAGGTTATCATCGATAAAAGAATTCAAGTTTTTAACTGACAAAAAAAATCTACAGCGGTAAAAACAAGAATTTCGTTTTGACTTTAACTTGAATAATTTTGACGGAGTGAATTTAGCCAAAAATGTTAGGAGACAAAAACTATGGACTCAAACTTTCACAATAATTTTTTTTTGTCACCCCAAACAATATTTTCGATATACTTTACAAAAAAAAAATAGTCGATTTTTTTGGCCCAGTAAAGTGTACATCTGGCCGCTCTCAAGTCAATTCTACAATTTCCTTGTACATCAATGGTCAAAAACTCAATTAATAAAAAAAAATTGCAATACTTTGCCTGACGAGTGTACACAAACTATATTTATTTAGGAATGGCACATTTCAGCAAATCTTATCTTTCCCTGTACCAACGTCCGCGCGGCTTGCGGAGCATGCGCGGCGACTTGGGCGAACCGGGCATGCGGCGTTGCCGTCGTCCGCTCGTCCTTTGTTTCGCCGTCGCGTTGGCAGCGGCCGGCGGCGACGTTGTCACGTTCACGCGCGACTTTAAAATCTTCTCGTTGCTCAACTTCTGAACGCACACGTACGGATGATACTCGACGTTTTGCTTCGCGTTGGTTGTCAGCACTTTAGCCTCTTGATCACAATTTTTTTCACTCACACTGTTGTCACTTTTCTCCACACTCTCCGAGAGTTTTTTGTCATTAATAATACTAGCGTTATCAGTCGTAGGCAAGTCCCTCTCACATTCCTCTTCTTCGGATTCTTGCTCGCTGCAAGAGCCTATTGTACTGTTATCCTCCTCCTTCTCGGGATTCGCCACTTGCTCCTTCTTTAACAACCTTTTGTTTTTGTTGGGCCACCCGGTTTTATTCTTTTTCTTTCTCCGCCCGGGTTTTCTACCAGGCGTGCCGTTGAAGAACCGTCTGGCGCTTTTTTCGTCCTCCTTCGCGAACGCCTTGTCGTGCATCGTCAAAATATCACTGAACTGCACAGTGCTGTTCTTGAAGTCCACACTGTCCTCCGGTTGTTCTATCTCCTCGAAGTTGTCCTCCTCTTCCAGCGTCGAGTTGATTTCGTCCTCGATTTTGTTCGCCAGCAGATTGTAGTCGATTTTCACCACCGGTTTTCTCTTCAGGATTTTCCGCGGCTTGCGCGAGCACACTATGATTTTGCGTTTTCTCACCGGTTCAGCTGGTTCTTCGAGTTTTTCTTCGACTTTCGGCGGCTCCTCCTCCTTCGTCTCTTCAGGTATGCAAGGTAGAATCGTTTTGCTGTCGTCCAAACTTCGGGATTTCCGCTTTCTCTGCTGTATCAAGCTGCTCAGTATCGCCAAGGTGGACGCGTGTTGCCTGGGCGACTTTCTAGGGTTTTTACTCGAGCTCGGCGACATGGTCAGCATTTTCTTCCTCTTCATGTTTCTCTTCATCAGCGGCTCGCTGGAATCCTCCGTTAAAGTGCTCGTTGAACTGGTGGTGATTGTACTTATCTTGCTGTCTTCATCGTGCAGTTCTTCGGATGGCGTGGAGTTTGTTACGGATTGGTCTGGTGTGGTGGACCCGTCAGAGCAACACGATGGAGGGTCTTGCAGCAGTTTCTTGACTTGAACGTAATGTTGTATGCATTTTTTCGGGTCCATCGGTTGTATGGAGTTCATTTGGTATGGCATTATGAAGGAGTCCCAGTAAACTAGAAAAATATGTTAAGTTGTTGATTGCTACTTTTTTCAAATGTGTATATTTTCCAAATCAAAATTCAATATCTTTAAAACCCTAGTCTTGATGCAATTAAAGTAGAAGGAAAAGTTTAAATTGATTAAGTGATTTGATTTAATTAACGAATTTATTTATACAACTCTGCTTACAGTTAAATATTTAAAAAACATTGATCTGAGTTGTCCTGCTAAAATAACAATTTTTAAACCTGTCAACCTTACTTGAGACCATCAAATTTTATTATGAAAATATGATAAATAGTCTTGGGATTATCTATCTAGGGAATAAATAGTCTTATAATAAATTATTTCTACTTACAATCGCTAAAGTATGGAAACCTCATCTCTCCAGTGTCCTGCCTTCTAAAAGTGCTGTACCACTGTTCATTCCTAGGAACCCTCTCAAATGAGAACTTGTAGTCGGCCAACTTGAGCCTGGGTTTCTTGATTTCGGGTTTTTCCTCCTTTTCCACTTTCGGTTGCGTGCAATCCCCGTTACCTTTGGGCGACTTAAGCGGCGGGTCTACCGACGGCGGCAGATAACTTCCCTGATACCTTAACCTGCAAGAACTTAAATAAACTTAGCGTCAATGAGAGATGATAATGAGTGAGGCTTTCGCACAAGTTCAAACTAAAAAAAAAATGTTTTTGTTGAATTTTTTTAGAAAACGAGGCCCACCAAAGAAAATTTCAATGGAGTGAATTTTGCGACTGTACTTTCCACAGAAAATGATCTCCATAGAATAAACCTTTCTACAGAGATGATTTTTCATGGAAATAAATTCGCAAATTTCATATGCGAATAAAGGTGGTTTCTAACCTGGATCCGGGCATTTCGAACTTGTAATACTTGTGGTTATCGTTGATGAACGCTTCGGCATGCGTTCGTCTTTTTTTCTTGCGTTTTTCCGAGCTCACGCTGTCCATTGAGGCTTCATCTTCAACCTTGAATTTCATCGAAGTCGTCTCCTCCTCTGCGTCCTCCTCGCTGGAGATGAGCAGAGTGCTGTCGTTTTTCGTGGTGCTGACGGTGGAGTTGGCGCAATCCGCGTCTGGATCGCCCCCCTCCTCCTCATCCTCCTCTTCGGAGTTATCTTTCTTGGAGGGGAATAGAAAATTCGAAGCTTCATTGTTGAGTTGCACCAGTTCGGAGTTGCGGAGCTTCTTGAACTTTACTATGAGGCCTTTTTCTTTATCTTCGAGGGACTGCGCTTTCGACACTTCCAACTCTCTGGTTTGCGAGGATCTCAGTTTCGACGATAGAACTTCCACTTTGTAGTAGGCTTTGGGGTGGTCCGCTAATAATCGTTCGTCTATCGAGGTTCTTCGTCTTTTGTTGATGCAGGCTCTTTTCGGGCGACCCGAGCTCCACACGTCGTCTTTTTCTTGATTCTCTTGCAGTTTCTGCAAATTAAATTGAAAAAATGTGTGACGTCACGTGCGTACCAGATTCAAATGTTACATACAGTTTTGCATGGGCATACGCTATGCACGGGTGTTTTGCTACGATTTCTTTTGAGTTTTTTTCGAAAGTATTGTGTTATATATCGTATATAATCGTGTATATCATATACCGTACCTTCATTTGCAAGTTATACATAGGGAAAATACATTGTAGGTGGAACAGACAAGTCGAAGTTAGCGCGAAACGAAAATGTTCCCAGAAATTATTTTGACGAGTGGATGAGTAGACTAACATGCGACGTAACAGGTGACCTTGTTTACTGACGATTAAAATTTTATTATCTACGTCCATATAATTTCTAAGAACTTTTTCGCTTTGCGCTGACTTCAACTTGTCTTGTCCACCTACAATGTATTTTCCCTATGTATAGCTTGCAAATGAAGGTACGGTATAATACCACTAGTGGTAAAATTTTTGATTTTTATAAGAATGTTTTTTTCTTGTAAATGTAAAAGTGGCATTAATTTTAAATTAATGCCACGAGCGAAATTTCCAAGGAAAAATCTTGAGTAAATAAAAATCAAAAATTTTTTCTGGGAAAAAAGACTATTTCACGAATATTTTTTTTAATTAGAAATCACTGCCGATTCAATTTCTATATAATTTTTTTGACCAAAACGCATATACGCTAAAGAAGTATCGCTAGTAGCGCCACCACTCGGCTGTTATCATCGTAACAAAAGTACAACTTTTAATAATCAGATGTCAAACGCTTATGTTACAAACGAGTGTTTTTGAGAATAAAGCCGAAAAATGTTAAAAAATATCGGAAAAAAACCGTGGCACGATTTGTTGTGTTGTTGGGTGTATTTCGAGAGGAAATCCTGATTTGAGTTTTTACCGGTTTTCCAATAAACAGTGTTAATGCGAATGAAAAAATTAATTTTATACAGTCCCTGTAAATATAAATTGTATCTATTAGATACAATAAGTACACATTTTAGTAATGATTAACGTGAAAAGTGTAAACATTTCAATTCAGTAAAAATTGTCAAACAAATAAGTCGTCTAAATTTAAACAGCATTTAGCATTATTAAAAGCGTTGATTAAGAAAGTCTCCACTCAACGGTAAAATACCATTATATTATGTATTATATAAGTATAATATTATGTTGCCATGAATTCGTAGGTATATTTTGTTATTTAAAATGCAGTTGTCGGCGTTTTTTAGAGAAGTCAAACATAAAATTTTAAATATAAATTATATTAGGTAAAGTTATCATTAGTTAATTCTGCACCAACAAATGTAGGTACTTACCGAATTGAATCCTTTGGTAAAACATGAAAATACAACGGTTTAGTTCTTGAATTTTATTTACAATTGAAAACACAATAATTCACCATGATCCCTTGGATAAAATACACACACTAACGTAACTACATAAGCATTTAAGCGTTGAGTTTATTAATCAATGATATAAAGAATAATCAATAGAAATCGAGTACTAAACCAGTTTTTTAGTTTTTTTCTTGCAACGTAAAACACAAATAACGTGCGCGATTTAGCTGTGCAATTGAACAAAATTTGTCGAGGCTTTTGTGAAAAAACTACCTATTTATTTAAAAATGACAGTTCGTATGCTTTAAATGTATTGTTGAAAATTCCACACCTGTAATTTTTAACCAATCAAAACGTGTATTTTTGATAGATCACCATGGCAACGGTTGAATTTTAGTGGAAATTTTTTCCTCGTGGGTACCCAACAGCGAATTATACTGGAAATTTTTTGACGTTTATAATGACAGAATATTTTTTTGACAATCTGGTTTTTATTTGTTTACATGATAATTTTGATAAATTTCCATTACAAAGTTTAGATGTTTTCTATATTCGTTGGACACCTCCTTTCTTCTTAATGGCGAAAATGCAGGAATTGAAATAAATTAAATGTCTATGTCTAATGAATTTTATATAATATTTAGACACTATTCTATTCACCTTTTTTTCCATTTAGCACTTAAGATGCAAATATTCGTGAACAATTCAAAACAAATTTTCTTTCTTCAAGAAGGAGCCACAATCCTCTAATAATGCGGGTAAATAAGTCATTGCACGATGATTGATCATTACAGCAGACAATTTCACATTTTTTTACGTCATGCCGCTTGACAGCTTCAAAATTGAAATAACTTTTAGGTTGGGATTGACTTAGTTGCCATGGTAACTAAATAATCAAGTCGAGGTCAAGTTAAATCAAAAAATAAATTTTAATTATTTAAACACAATTTGGTGTGGAATTTTCTTACCGAATACCACACGAGGTCAAATTAAATCCGGAAATTTTTTCTCCCTCATGAATATTTTTAGAAAATTATCCCTCGTCTTCGACTCGGGATAATTTTCAAAATATTCATGAGCTCGAAAAAATTTCCGGAAATAATTTGACCTCTAGTGGTATTACTAGTGACAATTCTTAAATTCACGCAATGGTATCGAAGTCCACCAGATGGCGCGCGCGTTGCGAAAACCCGATACTTCTTAAGCGTATTTTTTGACATTTTTATATTAAAATTAGAAACGTCAACATTGACAATTATTTTTAGCATAGCAACTAATTGCTATGCAACTCGTATAAACGAGTAGTTTTATCCCTGCAAAACTTAAAAAACTCTTGTTCTGAAATATGATTGGTCCATAAAGTAATGCGTGGAATAGTCGCAGAAATTGTTAAAAACACGACCACAGTTTATCAAAAAACTGTAAATTCTGATGATATAAACTGTGGTGTGAAATATATACTTACAGATAGAATTCTGCTGCTGCTCCTTAACTCCCTGTTTTGGGCATGATCTACAGGGGTGGGAGGGGGGCTAAAATCCGTCTTGTCCGATTCTGGCAAGCTATCCTCGTCCAGCGGAGGAGTCATGTAGTTTATATTCCTTCTGGACCTCAAGTGATGGTGACCTATGATTTCGCTGTGGGCGGGCGATAGCGGGGACGGTTTGACTCTTTCGCAAACCACCGATGCGGCACGGGTGCGCGGCATGTTTCTGCGTCTCGGTCTCGGCGATATGTCGCTCGGGTCTAACGCACCATTATCTAGAAGGCAGATTTGTTAGTTTATGGCAACTCTGGAACTGGGGGTCTTTCTTGCGATTTGCTATTATAGTCTATTGCTTTTTTTTTTTTTTTTTGGATGGAAAGTAAGGCCGCCAATTTCAAGGTACACCATGCAGTGAAGGAACCTAGACTCCACCTTGTGACAACTCTGGAACTGGGGGTCTTTCTTGCGATTTGCTATTATAGTCTATAACTTTTTTTTTTTTTTTTTTTAATATGCCTTTAACAGGCATGGAAAGTAAGGTCGCCAATTTCAAGGCACACCATGCAGTGAAGGAACCTAGCCTCCACCTTATGACAACTCTGGAACTGGGGGTCTTTCTTGCGATTTGCTATTATAGTCTATTACTTTTTTTTTTCTTCTTACCTAAAGCGGTGTCTATGTTCAAGTTTAGAAAGGTTTCGATGTTAGAGTGCGGACTGAGGAACCCGTTGACGGCAATATAGGCGCCGTCATCGCCGATCAGCTTCTGATGCCGCTTCGAATGGATGTGCTCTTCCAAGTTGTTGTAGGGTTGATGGCAGATTTCACAGTAGCCGCTTTGGAGGGACTGGATACGCGGTCTCCTCGTTCTTGTTTTTCGCGTCATGACGCGCCCATCTGAAAACGAGCGAGTTTTAATCAAGGTGTGGATAAGTTGTAAGCAATATGAATTTTTTTGTAATTTCTTTTCTGCGTTCGTTTTTGATGTCCTATTGAACATTACATTTATGTACAACCTTTAATATTACAACTTTTATTTTCAAAATGACAAGAAGCTTTGTTTTAAGTGTGAAAAAATCATATTTTTTTTTCAAACGAGGTTTAACTTTCTTTTTGACTCTTCTAATGATACTCCCAAAGTTTTAGATGTTTAAATTGATTGACCTGAGCCCTGACCACTTAAAAAAAAACAGAAAAAATCCTAAAAAAGTGTGCAAAAATCAGGTTTTTTTTTCAAACGAGGTTTTTCTTACTTTTTGACTCTTTCAAAGGTACTTCCTTTCATTTTTAAATTAATTTTCAACCTGAGTCCGGACACTTAAAAAACAGAAAAAGTCCTAAAAAAGTGTGAAAATAGTATATTAAAGAACTAATGTCATAAGACGTCATTTTGTCACACGCGGACAATTTATAAAACTAGCTACGAAGGAGCGAGTTTTGTAATGGACGAGTGCGACAAAAGGTCTTATGACATGAGTTCTTTATGCTATTTATACCTTAAATTTAATTTGGTCGAATTTTACTTTAGATAGTTGGTATCACAGTCATTGGTTTGACAGTTAATGTCAAAATCGATTCGACATGCCGTCCTTAATGAACTTATTTACAATAAGCGGCTGTTAATGTTAAAGAAGAAAAAAGGATTTTCTTTGGTGTTAAACAAAATTTATTGCCAGAAAAGTCTCGTAAGTACTAAAAAAATCATAAAAATATTATAACCAATATGCAAAATATGCTGTTTAAAGTATAGCCAACCTATAAAATTTTGGGTGGGATAAAGTATCTCATTACAGCACCGAGAGCGGCAAAATAGATAAAATATTATTATTTTTTTCAAAATGGTTTTTCTTTTTTTGACTCTTCTTAAGGTAATCCCAAAGTTTCAGATTTTTTAATTAATTTTTAACCTGAGCCCCGACCACTATTAAAAAAAAACAAAAAAGTGTAAAAAAAATCAAACAAGGTTTTTTTACTTTTTGACTCTTCTTAAGGTACTCCCAAAGTTACAGATTTTTTAATTAATTTTTAACCTGAGCCCTGACCACTTAAAAAAACAGAAAAAATCCTGCCCGGATTTCCAGATTTTACTATTTTACTATAAGCGCGTTTGTTGGCCGAAAGAGTGATAAGTTAAAATTGATAAAAACTTGTTGTTTTTTTAAATGTATACTTCCGCAACAGGTTCCGTTTCGCTTATGCAAAAATTTACTATGTTTCGTTATCGATAATTACGTAATTACAGAAAACCGTAAAATTTTCTATATTCAACATAATAAATTCCTTTTACAAAGCCACGATTCATCAGGATTGAACCGTTTTCGTTTTGCGGAAGTTTAACTGTCTCACACCAGCGTCTTTTAATTACATAATTTACATAATGACGTTGGCGTAACTGTAAACCCCTTACTCCGGCCCTGCTTCATATTTGTTTTCATAAATTACATCCGCCGCATATGAATTTAATATTTTCGATATGCTTGCATGTATGTATGTATGTATAGGCAAAAATCAATATGTACCAAGCAATAAAGTTAAATTCATTTTTATTTCGGTTATTGCGTTATGTTACCATAGCAACCATAAATGTGCGGTGATTGTGAATGCAACGATGGTTCAAGTCATGAATTTACAATCTTAGAACCTGTTTGAATTCCTCAGATATTATCAAGCATTGTTATTAGTGACTTTCGTTTTTTTTAAATCTGAATACAAAGTAGATGGTTGTTATGAAATAAGGTTGTTGTTGAGTCCGCGTAAGTCTCTGTCAAGTCTCTAAAACGGTTTTCCAAGGCTCTAAAGTCGGGATAAATCAATAAAAATAAAGAGAGTGAGTTTAATTAATCCTTAATTGATTTTGGGATAAAAACAAACTAAACAGGACCGTATTAAGCTTAAGAACTATAATTTTTGTTGATACAACAAAAAACACTATCTAAACAAAAATAGGTAGATTGATAAAGAAATACTTTTTATTTGTACAAAAAACATTTTAGGGGCGTTTTTAACTCCCCCAGTAGAGTCCGTAAAAATTCTCGATTGATTCGTCGCTGGGAAATTTTGTTATAAGCGAGTCAATAAAGCACGCGGGCGAGCTGTCAGATGGATGTCCCGGTGACTATGGCAACATCGCTGCAAGTGACGGAAGCGCACGGCGTTGCCAGATTTAAGAGGAATCGCAGATTGTGTGTGAAATGTTGTATTATTTTTTTTTTAAGCCTTTAATTATCTATTTCTAATTAATAATAATAATTTACGATTTTAAAATCTTCTAAAATCATTGAAAAATAGGGAAAATAAAAAAAATTTACAATTAGAGGCAATTAAAAAATACAATACAACATGGAAAGTTGTACAAAATGTTAAAAACAAAAATGTCTTATTCAGACGGTATTTTTAGCTTTCTGATCTGGCAACGCCGCGAACAAGCGGCATCGCGGGGGAGCGAACTCGACGTTGCCGCAGTGTGCACCGACGATAGAGAGGAATGTTTTGCATTTTTTTCCATAATCCATATCGTTGTTTGAGTCGAGTGGAAACGCACCGTTCTTTACCCGTTCAAGGTCAATTTAATATTTGTTGCGCGGACTTATTACAACGACAACAATCGAGAAACGAAATTTAGTCGTGTTGTCTCTTTGAAACTCACAAAATGCTGATTTTTAGGGTGTTTGACGCAAAAATCAAGTAGGTTGGCTTAAAAGTCATAGTTTTTGACTTAGTTGCCATGACAACGCGACAGCAGCTGTTCTCGATCGACCTATAAATATCGAGGGTGGCCGACGCGGCAACGTCGCAACTCCCATGTACACATTACGTCTCTGGTTTGTGTTAAAACGCGGGTCGTTTACCTAGCTCTGCTCATGAACAACACAAAATATGTATAACAAAATTTTGGCTTGACAACCGCTAACCTTGTTGCCGCCCGTCAAACGTCTGCTTACATAAACAAGAATTATTCCCATAGATTGCGCAACGTTGCAATAATAATAATAAGAATCCGAGTAGATTGTTGTATACTTTTATAAGGTTAACTGTTTCATGTTGGACGTTTTTAACTTGATAAACTCCACGGCATAATTTCTATAAATAATACGCGAACTAACCTAACCTATGGGTATTAATATCGTTTTTGTTATGTAGGATTGCCTATTTATAGGTTTGACAATGCATTATAAGAAAATATTATATTGTTGCTAATTCGAAAGAATATTAGTTCGGGAATTCTGTAGTTTAGGGTAGGCCGTGTAAATATGCGCCAATTGGTTGTTTATTAAACATTTTGTTTATTATTTCCATGGCCTACTCTATACCATTTAAATGTCAAAATAAATTACTTTCCAATTTGCAACAATAACGTTTTAAGGAGAGACATACTAACCAGCAGCGTTGTAGATTTATAAATCCATTTGTTTCGTTGGCAAAGGTATATTTCCGCGGAGAAACTTCGAACAGTTCGCAGTATATTTCGGTCACAATTTCACAGTAATTTATAGGAGGTAAAAAGTATTTTAACACGAGCTGATACGTCGATATTCTTTGTACGCTTTACGCTTGAACAGTACGTCAACTGTTTCTCGCTTCGAGTCCGCAGCAGTGCACTACACAAAACCGAACACGGCCATTGTAAACTGTGTACGAGCTTTCGATAAACACGCCCTGAAAACGCCGTTCGGCGAGCTCTTTTCCGGCATTTCGAGCCACTTTAAACACTATCGAACATTTCACTTCACTCGGTTTACCTTCGCACCATTATCTTCGATTTATTTTCGGATTTATTCGATTCACCCAAAAATTCAAAACATTCTCGATTCCGCCACCTATGATTCGCCTTCGGCCAATAAAAACGCTCGCACGTGGCGACGTCTAGCGGTGAAAGTTCGAGTCGGTGGCGTAATTTTCGAATTTCGTTTTCACGTTAATTCGCAGCGGTTTTTTGTTTCTGGTAGATTGACGGGTTTGTGTGTTATGCAAAAGAACCGGATACGTCTATAAAGATTTGCTAATTTTGTGTAATTTTATTCAGCTTATTTTATTGATCAGTTTGGTTAGTTTTATAATTTTTATTCTAGGTTCAAGAAGACTAAATAAAGGCGCCTATAGACGCTATACATAGGTGTTTTACTACGTTTTTTTCGAAATTGTGTTTAGTATAATTATACTGGCTACGCACCATCGTTTTGCACAGTTTTTAGTGCATTTATTGAACAGTAATTATATTTTACAAGGTGTTTTATACCAGGTTTTCTATTAAGTTTGTATTATATTTGTTGAACTTAATAACTATTTAAAATATGCCCGGCTTTGCTGTAGCAGATAGCAGAAATATGAAAAGAAACTCAACCAATATTTTCGATTTCCAAAACATAAAGATCTGGAAAAAAAAACGGTAAGTATACCCAATTTTCTATTAGGTAGTTATAGTAACTTTTCACCCTAACCATATATTTTTGTACAGCTTGCATAGATTCTTACTAATAATAAAAATTAAAACACCTTGTATTGGAAACCCGTTTCAAAAGTGTCGCAGAAGTCAGAAAAGGTCTTATGACATGAGTTCTTTATGCTATTTTATCTTATTTTGCAAAAATTCTATAAAAATAAAAATAATTTTATACCTTAAATTTAATTTGGTCGAATTTTAATTTAGATAGTTGGTATCAAAGTCATTGGTTTGACAGTTAATGTTAAAATCGATTCGCCATGCCGTCCTTAATTTACTTATTTACAATAAGCGGCTGTTAATGTTAAAGAAGAAAAAAAGGAATTTCTTTGGTGTTAAACAAAATTTATTGCCAGAAAAGTCTTGTAAGTACTAGAAAAATCATAAAAATATTATAACCAATTGCTAAATATTATGCTGTTTAAAGTATAGCCAACCTATAAAATCAAAATTTTGGGAGGGATAAAGTATCTCATTACAGCACCGAAAGAGATGTTATAATGAAGTCATTATGAACACAAAATAGATAAATAATTGAAAAGGTTATAAATTTGTGAAATTACTTCAATCATATCTTAGGTATTTTCTTTGGGTTAAAAAACACAAAATTTAAAAATAAAATAGATACCTTTATTTAACATGAAATATACAATTACCATATCAATACATAAAAAGGCCTATATTTGTAAAATTAGAACTAAATAAACAAAGGGGCATTTCTAATTACAAAATATATTAACGAAAATATATAAATAATTTTTTTGAATTGCCCCCTTTTTGGGCTTACAATTACATAAATATTAATTAACCACATTTATACATACTCTTCCCATATATAATGTACGTATAACATTTACTCGAAAATACATACATTGGTTCCGAAAATTACATATTTATCCTATCTATGCCCATGTAAAGTGGTTTGTTAAAATTCTAAAAACCGACAGAGGGTTAAAATCACATCAAGATTTGTTTGATTTAATTTTTTTTGTTACAAATTGGTTTAAATTATTATTTAGGCACCCTGTATTCAGTCAATCTGGCAACCTTGGCATCATGTCGGAATCGAGTTTACTTTTTTGAACTGTTTGAATTTTTCATCCAACTGCCCAGGAACCTTAAAACATTATTCACTCATTATTACTCTTTAGTCTTTCAATTAGTTATTATTAGGTATTATTGCACATCGTTTTTTTAATTAATCAATTAATTAAGTCTATAAAAATCATTCACAAATTATATCTATAGTTATTATGAATAATTTTTGTACCATTGGATAGCTTTAATTCATGAATAATCATACATTTTTTTTTATATAAGAGAGCTAAAATTTTAACATTAAAATACAATAATAACAAAAATTTTCTTTTATAAAATTGTCCAACTACATTTTAATTATTATTTATAATAAAAAAATACAAAAATAAAAACAAACGTCATGCATAATCTTATCTAAATAGCAGAATCTAAGATACAGGCTAAGAGCTCTAAAACTAGAAAGATTTTATTATGTTTGTCTTGTAAAAAAAAATAAAATCTTTGTTAAAATAAGAATCCATCACCAAAACAGTATGAAAGGTTTATGTCCAGTAAAATAATGAAATAATTGAAAGCTTGTTTTTTGTTTATAACTTTTTTGTATTGATTTTTTTTTCTAAAACATTTATTTTTCTGGACCATTATAAAAACAATTTATTCGTTAAAATGGTTAAAAATCGTTTTAAAACCTTGCATATTTGTTGCTTATTAACTTAACAAAAAAAGTGCACAAAATATTTAAAAAAAAAAGTGAAAAATTAAAGTCGTATTATTAGTCATTTAAGCTGTTATTGTTACTCTCTTTTTCACATGAAGAAATTTGTCCTGAATCCTGAAACAATTTTGAACAAATTTTGTACATGCACGAGGAGTCAAAAATACAGTTAATTTGTTAGATTAGATTGGAAAATAAGTAGCATGGAAAAAGTACACATTTAAATGCAAAAAACAACAAAAACGCGTTATACCTTCGGTTTTGCACGGTGCGTGTCAACTGCTTCTATGGGCAGTTTAATGTGCTCCACCCTGCAACCGTACGCCACTGGCGTCAGCTTGATTATCGTGTGCAACGGCACTTGAAGATACGGCAATTCATCTAAAACAACAAAATTACGTGAAAATGGCAACGCTGCAAGTATGTGTGCGAAATTTGTCAACGTCGCACGGCGAGATTTTTTATGGGAGAATATTGGCAACCGCGCGCACTTAAAAATGTGCTGAAGTTGTCCAAAAATCGTGGCTGCGCTTTCAAGGTCAATTAGAAATAAATAAATAAATCTCAAGTTTTAGTTTGACGTAAAGAAGATTTGTTGCAATATTATATGTATGTATGTTAAGAAATTGTTTTAGTACCTACCTAATTTAATTAAATTAAAAAAGTGATGTTAAAAAAATTAACTTAAATACCTATGTTATAAAATTATTTTTTTTTACAAGAACAACTTTTTGGGTTTCAAAATTTTCATTGCAACTTGTATGTAGCAAAAGTAAGTTTTAAAGCCTATGGCACGCCGTTTTAACATTTATTAAATAATTATTTAATTTAATTTTTACAATCAGCTTTTTAATCAAAATCGTTGAAATATTTTGTATTGAAAAAAATGTTTTAGCATCTTAAAGTTCATTTTTTTTATCTGGACAAATTTAGGGTTTTGGTTGGTAAATAAGTTGGTCGCATTGATTAAAACAAACTAAGCTAGTTATAAATCTAATTGTGGTTATGTATAAATTATTGTAGGTTACATTGTGCAGTTGTCAAGTTTTGTCGAAATTGGTAGTTAAAATGCAATTTATTTGGCTTTGATGGTGCTTGGATGAGTAAAATCATATAAAAAACGTAGTTAAATATAGGTTGCTTTACGGCCCAGAAGAGAAAGATTCCTAGCGGATAATAATCTTCGCTTTGAAAAGAAATTAAAAATTTTTGTGAACGTAAATGTTGTCCAATGGTGAATAATGTGAAAATATTGTGTGATGTAATATTTTTATAAAAACCAAATTCGTTAATTTTTTACTCCAAAAATGTCCATAAGGCGATGTACTTTTTCTTCCATTGTGACATTTGGCATAATTTCATCAAAATGAAGTTTTGCCCTCAAAAAGGCTTTTACATTCGAATTTATAATTGACAAGTAAATTATCGTAAGTAATATCATAAGGGCATCTAATTTTTCCAAAACTTGACAGCTGTTGTCACCAAAAATTGCAATTCATATTTTAATTGTTAACTGTTACTCATGAAATAGTCTTGTCAAATACCATTCGGGCATCTAATTTTTCCTGTGAAAAAAATCGAAAAAACACGTTGCTAAGTAATATTTTAACAAAAAGCATGAGTGCTGGTGGCAACAAAAATCCGAGTCGAAGAGGAGGATTTTTGCACCTGCACGAATGCATTTTGTTAAAAAATATTACTTAGCATTGTGTTTTTTCGATTTTTTTCACAGGAAAAATTAGATGCCCGAATGGTATTTGACAAGACTATTTCATGAGTAACAGTTAACAATTAAAATATGAATTGCAATTTTTGGTGACAACAGCTGTCAAGTTTTGCCGCGGGTAAACTCGAATAAACTGCTGACAGGTGCTGTCACACAGTTTTTTCACCTAGAAACCATTTGTAATTCAAAATTGCGCGTTTGTGATTGGTGGAAATTAAGACGAGGGAAATAGTCAATAATAAATATTATTGTCAATTTAACAGTGTCAAAGTATTTAATTAAATTCTTTAGCAGAAGTACCATTTTTAAATACTAAAAATACCAAGTCAAACTGGCATAAGCCACCAACCTAACAAAAATCACGAGCAGATAAAAAAAAATGAACTGTACTTGTATTTGTATAAAAAATTGGCAAATGGCAACACTAATAAAAAATGATTTAATAATTGACAAACAAATTGAGAGTTTGTAACATAGTCAATATCTTCTCACAAAAATGCATTTTTGAAGTGATTTTATGAATAGAATCACGTTCAAAAAAATTTTAAGGGCGATACAATTAAAATTAGTGAAAAAATTAACAAAATTACTTAATAAGTAATAATAATAATAATATGTTATAAAATTAATATTTTTCACAAAAACGATATTTTGGCTTTAAAACTTTGATTACATTAGAAATGTATCTAATAATAATGATAATTTTGATTTGTGTTTATACCAAAAGTTTTAAAACATAAAACTTTTGGTATATATTATGTAATTAATGTAATATATTAAAATGGGGTCCATAAAGAAGCACCTGAAACTTTTTTTTTCTAAATTCCAAAGACTAAAAATAATTTATAATAACCTTTATCCAACCAAAAGGTACGCCACTAATCGACTAGGAACTAGGCTAATCTGGTTGCCTAATTTAATTTATTATGTTATGGTTGGTAACAACCAGCTTTTCCAGATTCTGACAAAAAAGTCAAAAAGAAAAAACTAATGAAAAAATTAATTTTGTGGTTATGGAGTTTTTAAAATGTGTACTAAATTTTCTAATCATTACTTAAGCTAATAGCTGGATGAGTAAATAAATACAGAAGGGAATTAGAGCTTTAAGGGCATAAAACTTTTAAATTTATTGAGTTTTTATTTGTAACAATTTTTTACAACTGGCAACGCGCAGCTACTTTGTTGGTGGTATCTATGTACTCACAGAACACAAGTGTGTAACCAGTGGCGTATCACAAATAATATAAAAAACTTCTAATGCATATTTTTTATCTTTACTTTGGGAAAATATTTTTTTAAATATTTTTCCGTTAAACCTTATGTCAAAAGGTATTCAGTATTTTAATATATTAAATTAATTACATAACACCCTGTATAGGGGCCATCCTAAAGTATATCACACCTTTTTATTTAACAGATTTTTAATTTCAATTTTATCGTAAAAATCACTTTTTACAAATTTAAAATTCGTTTTTTGTACTATGGACATTTGTATCTAAATTCAACACAAAATGCAGTAAAGTATCTCACAAGTTAAACAAATTAATTAAACACCTAAAATGTAGTTTATGCTAATTTCCCACAAATTTCTTGCTTAGCAGTTACTGCCTTCCTCACTATTTTTATAGATTTTTTTTTAAACCACATTTTTTCCAATCTCGTCACTTACCTGCAGATTTGTCAAGGAAATAAGCCAAGAGGCATCTGATAACAGCCTGGTGAGAAACCACCAAAACATTTCCCTGCCTTTCAAGCTCCATAATCACCGGTTCCAGCCTGGCGACCAAGTCCTCGTAGCTCTCTCCCCTCGGATAACGATACGCGAATTTGTTTTGATCTCTCGAAGCAAACTCCTCCGGATATTTCTCCTGAATCTCCTCGTACGTCATCTCTTCGCAAACCCCCTACAAAAAGACATCCCAGTTATACATTTTTTAAACAGAAACAAGTGAGGCGTTTATTAGCACCAACTGTTTCCTAACCTCCATATATACGTATACAAATAAGTGATTCTCGTAAAAATGTCATAGGTTCCATAATAGTTAAATATGAAACTTAGCTTGTTCTTCTAAAAACATCACAAGTCCTCTCCGTTTCGTCTAAGAAAGTCACATGTGCTGCATAACATGTGACGTTTTTCATACAAACTCGACTGGCAATGTAAAAAGTGCAACTGACAATTTTTTTTTGAAATATCCAAAACCAGCTATTAACATAAAAAATGTGAAGATGTTCAAAATTGAAAGTAATAACAGAGGCATTTTTTAAAAGATAGCTATAGTGGTCTATGGCGTTCATCAATAGTAGCATCAGAAATAACCAAGACAAACGAAATAAGCTTAAAGCCTGCATACGATCTGCCAATACCAATTAAGAAAACAAAATTGGATACTCTAGAAAAGCCTTTTGTTACTCAGAGTTAATATTTAGTTTGTAGTGTTTGTAGTAAGGACAATTGTTCGTTTTTTTCTTCTAAAAACCTCTCATGTTCATGTATTTTTTGTGTTTTTTTCATATTTGTTTGAAAAAAAAAACATAAGGAATTCTGGACAAAGTATCTTACCTTTTTTTACATGTAGTAAATAGGTCAATAAAGTACTTTGATCAAAAATGGGAATGTTGAAGAGTTTTTTTCATTTTCCCAAATATGTTAATTTTGGTCTAATGATGTTTTTCCGAGAAACGCGTCAAGTCTATACGCTAAAGAAGTATCGCTAGTAGCGCCACCACTCGTAACAAATGTACCACTTTTAATATTCAGCTGTCAAACGCTTATGTTACAAACGAGTGGTTTTGAGAATAAAGCCGAAAAATGTTAAAAAATATCGAAAAAAAAAACCGTGGCTCGATTTGTTGTGTTGTTGGGTGTATTTCAAGAGGAAATCCTGGGTTGAGTTTTTACCGGTTTTCCAATACAGTGATAATATGAATGAAGAAATAAATTGCATACATACTCTGTAAATATAAATTGCAGCTATTAGATACAATAAATACACATTTTAGTTAGTGATTAACGTGAAAAGAATAAACATTTCAATTCAGTAAAAATCGTCAAACAAATAAGTCGTCTAAATTTAGAGTAGGGTAGATACATTTTATAAATTTTGAACATTAAATAATTTATATTTATTTAAATTATAGGTAAAATAGCGCAATGATAACAAACAAAATACCCACTAGGATGATAACAAAACTTTTTGACTTCTGACAGTAAATCAGCTATTAACCAAAGCGCATGTGCGGGATCGAAAGCCTTTGTGAAGCATGGTCTGTAGACACTTCTTTTAAAATGCAGTCGTCGGCGTTTTTTAGAGAACTCAAACATAAAAATGGTTGATTTTAGGTTATGTTTGTGCAAAAATTATTTTTTCTAATTTCTTAAAAATGTCCAAACTTAAATATAAATTATATTAGGTTAAGTTATCATTAGTTAATTCTGCACCAACAAATGTACTTACTGAATTGGATCTTTTGGCATAACAAGAAAATGCAACGATTTAGTTCTTGAATTTTATTTACAATTAAAAACACAATAATTCACCATGATCCCTTAGATAAAATACACACACTAACGTAACTATATAAGCATTTAAGCGTTGAGTTTCTTAATCAATGATATCAGGACTAATCAATCGAAATCGAGTACTAAAAAAGTTTTTTAATTTTTTCCTTGCAACGTAAAACACAAATAACGTGCGCGATTTAGCTGTACAATTGAACAAAATTTGTCGAGTAAGACTTCTGCCTTCCTCTCTTTTGTGAAAAAACTACCTATTTATTTAAAAATGATGTATATTCTGTGCTTTAAATGTATTGTTGAAAATTCTTAAACTCACGCAATGCTATCGAAGTCCACCAGATACTTATTTAGCGTATTCCACTCAAAAGTGGAAAAACTCACTTCATAGCAAAAAGTTTATATATTTTTTACTTACGGCGTCAATTTCGTTCAGTGCCTTCCACCTCTCCTGAGCTACATTTAAACCGGACACGGTCTGTATGGTTCTTTTCAACCAAGACGTCCATATACGTAGACCCTCGATTTGTCCGTCGTGAATGTAGTTAGCTAAGGCAGCTGCATAGAGGCGCCCTCTGTCGCTCAAATTTGAATCGCCACCGATGCGACCTTCCAGGTTTTGTTCGCTTTCTCCATGCTGCAAGATGTCAGGATTTAGTTAGTTAGAAAAGTGCTATATCTTGCTTTCTTCTAATCGTACGAAATTTTAGGTTTTAATACAAATTGTATATCAGAATAGTATATTAAAGAACTAATGTCATAATGTCTCCGACTGATGTTGCCCTTTGTACTTTACTTCTTGTGACGTTTAAAACACTTGCCACGTAATACTGTGACCGTCCATCCTTGATTAAATTAATAGCTCTGGCAACATCAGTCGGAGACATATCCATTTTATAAAGTAAGAAGACACCTCAAAATTTAAACATTAATTTACAAAAAACAATTTGATAGCTTTTGAAAGCCGCGTATGACATGTCCAAGTATGGGATGATTCAACAAAACTGTCACTATCATTCTCCATAGCCTATGGATGGACCATAGCAACCTTAGTTCTTCATACAGAAAATATTGGAAATTGCAATGTTTTTTAAAAAAATCCATATTTTCCACAAAAATAAATATATCGAGGTGAACCAAAAACAAAACTGTTAAGAATAGATGTGACTTGTTAAATAAAACTTAATTTAGAACAATATACGGTTTTGCCACTCTACAGAGTGTCTTAAACTTATGGTAAAAAAACATCTTTTTGTTTAAACCTGTATATTATAAACGTACGTCTATTTTTTAGTATTTTTTTAAAATGTGAGCGATTTTCCATTAATTTATCTACAATATTCTTTAATATTCGTTTAAATCCGACATCAAATAAAAAAGTTATTTGCGATTGAAATTAATCGAAAATTTGTGTGGATCGATTATTTTGCCTGTGAGTGTATTATTCTACAAAAATATTGGTTTAAATATAAAGAGTCATTTAAATGTAAGTTTTAAATTTTAAAGTGGTAATTTTTGGATTAAAAATTTACCGACTCATTTGAATGACTCTTTACAAATATAAACCAATAACTTTTATTTGTAACAAATTAAAATTTATATTCTAGAACCAAAAAAGTAATTTTCGTACCCTTGTCAGATAGATTGTCCTTGGTGTTATGTGTATATTCATCAAATAGTAAACTATCCTGGCTTGAACATGTCCTTCATGTTTGTGCACAACAACTTTTTCGCCAGTGTTGTAAATTTTCATGAAGGAAATGTTTTTTTCCAGGTCCTCGTCCAAAGGACTGTATTTTTCCTGGTAATGCTGTATCCTTTGCAGGAAGTCTGTCAACGCCGCGTCTTTGTTCATGTTTGCGTAATCTGGACTGCTCACTTTTACCTAAAAATAATTGTTGTGAAAAAATATTTTTATCTCCACGCGGTCTATAAATTAAACTTTATTGTTGTCAACATTCGATAAAGAAATACCTTGTTATGGCCTAGGCCGATAAAAAATTTTATGAGGCGATTTTTTCTCGCTAGGGGTATTGTTTTGACAAATTAATCCTTTTCTAAGAAATTAGCGTACTAAACTGGTTTAATTTATTTTTAAAAAGCACTAATTTGTTTGTTTTACTGTTAATGTTTAATATTTTTCATTAAATTATTGTAAAATTAAATATGAATAATAAAACAAAAAGTGAGGTTAGGCAACCAAGAAAACGCACGATTCTTTTTCTACGATTTAAATTATCTTTAAGTTTTAATTTGCTTTAAGTTTTCAGTGAAATTAAATGTTAAACACAGCTTAAACATTCCAAACTACCTATTTTTTAAATAAAAATCCAAACAAATTGAAATTAGATACCTACCTATTTATTAAACAATTAATTGAATTCAATGTAATAGCAAAAATCCATTTCTACTTAAATCATGTAGCTAGGTATTGTCAAACTATTAATGCTTCTAAAAGCAATAATAATTATTGTACATTTAAAGTAATCTTTAGCTAATAAATAAATGAGATTCTAAAAAAGTGAGGTTAGGCCGCTTTGATGTTGAATTAAATTGACCTATATAAAGTGCTTTAAAGATAAAATGTTGTATGCCATTCGGCCAAGAAGTGCCTTTTTGTGCTTCGCTCAATTGTAGGCCTCCGCTAACTATTTTCCAAAAAATAACCTTACCTCCATGATATTTTGCTCGATGATCATGGGGTCGTCGCAAACGCTCTCGACGAAAAACAACTTGAAGCCCATTTTTCCGACCACGAATTCGTGTATCAATTTTCGACGGTCCAACGTGGAATTTGTGGCGTCGAAAACGGCAACCTCGCCTCCGTTCTCCAGCCATTGGCAGACGTCGTGCAGGGCCTCGATGCAACACTGCGCCCTTATGGCCATCGCTTCCTGGTTGTCAGGACGGAAGAACTCGTGGTTTTTGTAGGCGGTGGTGGCGTGGCGACGGTACTCGCCAAGATTAAAAACTAGAAAAAAAAATTTGTTTACATTAACGTCTCAAATAAGTAATAATATGGCATATTTTTCGCTATGGCAATTAGTCATGACTAATTCAATTTAAGAGAGTAGGTTGTTGAAAAAGAAACTTGCCAACATTCATCTTGTCTTATGCTCACCTCTAGTGTTGATCCCAATCCAGTTCAAGTATCTGGACAATTTTTTGGAAATATAAGTTTTTCCTCTGGCCGGAAGGCCCACCATTGCAATGACGTGTGGACTGTTGACATAATTTGCTCTTTCACCTGTAAAAAAAAATATTTCCAGTTAAGGCTAAGTTTTCACGAAACTACCTAGTGTAGGGTACTGAACTTTGCCTTTTGTTTGTATTTTTTACACGTAATACGCTAAAGAAGTATCGGGTTTTCGCAACGCGCGCGCCCTCTGGTGGACTTCAAAAGCATTGCGTGAATTTAAGAATTTTCAACAATACATTTAAAACATACGAACTGTACATCATTTTTATATAAATAGGTAGTCTTACTCGACAAATTTTGTTCAATTGCACAGCTAAATCGCGCACGTTATTTGTGTTTTACGTTGCAAGGAAAAAACTAAAAAACTTTTTTAGTACTAGATTTCGATTGATTATTCCTTATTTCATTGATTAAGAAACTCAACGCTTAAATGCTTAAATAGTTATGTTAGTGTGTGTATTTTATCTAAGGGATCATGGTGAATTATTGTTTTTAATTGTAAATAAAATTCAAGAACTAAATCGTTGCATTTTCATGTTTTGCCAAAGGATCCAATTCGGTAAGAACATTTGTTGGTGCAGAATAAACTCATGATAACTTTATCTAATATAATTTATATTTAAGTTTGGACATTTTTAAGAAATTAGTAACACATAATTTTTGCACAAACATAACCTTAAAATCAACCATTTTTGTATTTGTGTTCTCTAAAAAACGCCGACAACTGCATTTTAAAATACATAATATAATGCTATTATACCGTTGAGTGGAGACTCTAAAGAATCAACGCTTTTAATAATGCTAAATGCTGTTTAAATTTAGACGACTGATTTGTTTGACGATTTTTACTGAATTGAAATGTTTACACTTTTCACGTTAATCATTACTAAAATGTGTATTTATTGTATCTAATAGGTACAATTTATATTTACAGAGACTGTATGCAATTTATTTCTTCATTCAGATTAACACTGTTTATTGGAAAACCGGTAAAAACTCAACCCAGTATTTCCTCTCGAAATACACCCAACAACACAACAAATCGAGTCACGATTTTATTCCGATATTTTTTAACATTTTCCGGCTTTATTCTCAAAAACACTTGTTTGACAGCTGATTATAAAATGTTACGATGGTGGCGCTACTAGCGATACTTCTTTAGCGTATACACAAAAATATATATATGTCACCTTGACATTTGAATACAAATAATATAGGTTATCTGTCAGTTTATTATAATATAATATGTATAGTTGTCGCGGCGAATGTTTCCAATTGCGTCATCAAATTCTGAACCAAGCAAAGACATTACAATTATTGTTGTTTTCTTTTACGTATATAATACAAGGATTTGGTTAACCGTATGTCGAGAAATCGGTTTTTGAATAATAAACACCTAGGTGTTTATTCAAGAGGTCGTGTTCTTTTTTTATTTACAAACTAAAACTTGTTTATACATTGACAATGTAGGTATTATTGTTTATTAACATAAATCTATTACAAAAATAAAGTAAAAGTGTCAAAAATTTTATTTAAAGATTTATTTTTTAACTAATACCTATGTATACATATGTAGGTATTAGTTAAAACATAATTCTTTAAATATTAAAAATAAAATGTAAACAATATGTGATAAAGCATTCCAATGTAATTTTTATTAAAATATTGATACAATATTATTTATTTGTTTGATAATAATTAAATAATAAGGTTGAGAGATCAGGAAAAATGTTTAAAATTTATGCTGTTTAAACGTTTAATCCAATACAAATATTACGTGAATATTAAATCCCCATCCACGGCGTCAAAACTTCAATTAAATATTTAAAATTACCTACACAAAAACATCATCCAAACAAAAAACTAAAAATAAATCTACGAACCTATTCTAATAGAGAATGACCTGTCCAATCTCCTCTTGTCAATCAACATTGTACTATTTCAAAATAGAGGATATTTTCACGATTTAACAATTCAATAATAATCACTGATAAATGCAGTATTCTGCTTCAAACAAATAACTGCTTCAAACTAAGAACGCATTAATATTTATATGCTGGCGTGAATGAATGGGAGAACTTGATACGCTCTGTGTACAAGATCGAAATATTATTTATTTTTATCTTTTTGTGTTTACACTGGCGACGTACGAAATTTAATAGAATTTACTATGGTTTAATGCGCAAATGTTTATAGAGGAAAAAATAAGCCACTTTGTAGTTTTGCATAACTTTTTTCGGCTACTGTACCTTATCGAATAGGTCATGTTTTTTTTAATACACTGTAGTGTGTTAAGCGATTTTATGATTCATAATAATATGTAGTAATAAAATAATATTTTTAATTTAAGAGCTAATTAAAGCATTTTCTGTATGTACTTACAAGTTACATACATACCTACATGTTTTGGTAGATATTTAATAATTAATGTTAATATTAGCAGGTATAAAGTTTGTTGTTACTTCTAAGAATTAAAAGAAATCTTGTGAAATCTAAAGTAATATAAAAAAATAACCCAAATAATCCGTTTTAAATCCCAAATATTATTTACTCAATAGTTTAAAACTAATTATTTTAATTAAAAAACAATAAAAATAAAAAATGCATAACGTGAGAAAAATCACGTGCTACAATGAATTTCATCACAGAACATAAGACTTTCATTCCCCTTAAAAGAAACGCGTGCACTTGGTCACGTGTGCGCCAAAGCCCACTTGTGATTCATCCATGATCAGCAAATTTTAATTTTTTATCAAAACTTTGAATTTAATTTGCTAATTTTTTTGTACAGTGCCCATAAAATATTCTTTTCTTCTTTACTGTTAAAATTTGCTTCTATGATTGTTAGTCTATTTTCAAGGGATTAATTTTGATTTACACAGAAATATTTGAGATTTTAATGGTGAAAATTACGTCAAAAATGTTTATTGGGATGGTTACTTTATTTTCGCACAGATGTCGCTTTATACACATATTTAATTTAAATCATTTTTTGGATAATATTAAGTATTAAACTTTTCTACACTCATTTAATTAAGCACTCGCTCCTGACTAAATTAAATTCGTGACTACAGCGGCGTTTATTAAACTTGATACAAATTTAACTATTAAGTATATTTTATAAAATAGTTGAAATAGATATTCTCACAAAAATGGATTTTGAACTATAAAACTGATTTTACAAAATAATTTGTCCAAATTTTAACTTTTGGATTTCTACTGTTCTTAATCTCCCGTATCAATTTATTTTACTGCATTCCTTATTCAAATGTCAAAGTGGATTTTTTTTATGCAAAAGCATTTTTTTAAGGAAAGTACAGTTTATTTTTTTTATCTGGACTTTTTTGTTAGGTTGGTGGCATATGCCAGTTTGACTTAGTATTTTTAATATTTAAAAATGGTACTTCTGCTAAAGAATTTAATTAAATACTTTGACACTGTCAAATTGACAATAATTTTTATTATTAATAATTTACTTGTCAATTATAAATAAAAAGATAATTATGCCAAAAATAATAGCAACGAATTCGAATGTAAAAGCCCTTTTGAGGGCAAAACTTCTATTTGATGAAATTATACCAAATGCCACAATGGAAGAAAAAGTACATCGCCTTATGGACATTTTTGGAGTAAAAAAGTAACGAATTTGGTTTTATAAATATAACATAACAAATTATTTTCACATTATTCATCATTGGACAACATTTACGTTCACAAAAAAATTTTAATTTCTTTTATATAAATTCTTTTCAAAGCGAAGATTATTATCCGCTAGGAATACTTTCTCTTCTGGGCCGTAAAGCAACCTATATTTAACTACTTTTTTATATGATTTTACTCATCCAAGCACCTCCAAAGCCAAATTAATTGCATTTTTAACTACGAATTTCGACAACTCAACTTGACAACTGCACAATGTAACCTACAATAATTTATACATAACCACAACTAGATTTATAACTAGCTTAGTTTGTTTTAATCAATGCGACCAACTGACAACTGAAAAAAAATGTACTTTACATAGATTATATTCTATTTTTCCCAATAGCTGTGCTCCTTTTACTAAAAAGATCAAATTAAACGAATTTTAATTGGTCAAAAAAAAGGGTTCTTAAACCACGCCCACCGCTTGGAATCTATACGGCACCTTTTTGTACGTGTCAAACTGACACTTATAGAACAACTTCAACATCTATAGATTGCATTTTTATACAATACATCAAAAGAATAATAAATATATCTATTGATTAAATAAAACGAGTTAAAAATCAATATTCATTCTAATAATACATACATTCGAATTATATATTAAATATTAATTAAAGACATGCCTAATAACCTAATAATCAGCAATGTCATTCACATATTAATCGTGACCTTTGCTCAAAAAACCCAAAACGAACTTAAAATGCGTGTGTTGCAAACCGCCCTTAATTCCAAAAAATCCTCACCGATCCAACAATCTTTTTCCTTAAAGTCCTCCTTCAGCGATTGCTCGATTATTACGTCCTCCAACATATTTAAGCCAGCACTATTGCCACGAGTAGGAATTTCAACAGCACGCCGTTAACGTGTTGAGCTTTCTTTTTGAAAACTGGCAGCTTATCGCGAACATCTGATGTACGCAATCTGGGTTGCATACTTACAGGGGCAACGTTTAAATAACATAATCGATATAATAGCGTTGATTCACTCAACCATATTAGTGTGCTGATTTAAAAATAAAATAACCACGGCGCAATTTTGATGGCAATTATAGTGGAACTTTTTTATGCAAAATTGTATCGAACATATTTTCCTTTAAAATGGACATTTTTATAAAATCCATGAAGGTAAATTTATATAATAAAATATTAATACTTTAAAATGTCAAATTTCTTGTATATTTAAATTTTGATACAATAACTTTTACCTAGATGTAGTTTAGTTTAAATAAATAACAAAATAAAACTGCAACAAACGGTTAACCGTACTTTTAATGTGCGAAATGACCTTTTTTATCCATTGCCACATATATTTACTTGTCGGTTAACCGAATGAATTTCCAA